TTGCAATCCATAAGCAAATGAAAACCTAGTCACTGTTTAGAATACATCTTCTGTAATATGGTTTATAAAGACAGGAGATATTTACTGAGCCTTCCAGAATCTGTTACCAGGACACAGTTCTAATAGAACCACCTGTGTTTTAGAAGAAAGTACCTCCTTTTCATACCTGGTCAGTGGGGAGTCAGTGGCTTTCACTTTGACATCTTCTCACAGATCTATCACTCAATCCACACCTGCAATAAAAAAAATACAGTTTCTCATTCTGCATTGCCAAATCCTGAAGGACAACTTCTGAAATCATACTGGACTTGGTCAGCTGATAAAAGCAGTAAGCTGTTTGCTATCTAATCTGTTACCTGCTTCCTTATTACTAGCATATATAATTTATTGCCTGAATGACTTCTTTGCCTCGGTCTTCACCGGCAAAGGCCACACTGGTTCTGACCGCACCACCCAAGTCTTGGAAGGTAGATGCAGGGACTGTGAGAATGAAGACCTTGGGCCCACTGTAGGAGAGGAATTGGTTCGAGACCATCTTAAAAATCTGAGCATACACAAGTCCATGGGACCTGATGAAACGGAAAAAGGGAAATATAACCCCCATTTTCAAGAAGGGGAAAATGGATGACCTGGGGAATTACAGACCAGTCAGTCTCACCTCTGTGCCTGGCAAAATCTCTGTTTACTAATGACTTGGAATTACACGTTATTATTCATTGATCACTGTGAAAGCTCGAGTTTGCCCACACTATTCCTGATCAGTACCCATTCACTCTAAACTTCCCTCTTCCTCTTTTCTGATTGCATCTTTGATATGTTTACTGACAAATGTTTAACCTACACTTTGAATATGTATTTGCAATTGTTTGTATTACCAATGTGACTATGACTCCATCTTCTCATGCTATTGCCTCCTTATCACCATTTCCCTCTCCAAACTAAGAAACTAAAAGCTTAATGTACTATTTTTGATGGAAGATCAATGTAGATTTTGGCACAGTTGCAATAAAATAGAGATCTAGAACTAGAAGGAATAAATAAGCATTAAATGTGCTATATGTAAAGAATAAAATGCCTTTTAATTGACTGGCCAGTGTTTTATCCGTTACAAAGCCAAAGCAAACATGTAAATGATGTGGTCAAGCAGGAGTGCTACTGAAGATAAGAATAACAGAACTGTAACACATGCTTAATTTTAGCTTATTTTCAGAGCCAGTAAGAAAAAAAGCCACAAACCATTACATACTTCCAGAAACTAATAACAAAGCTACACACCATGCAGACTGCCACTGAATGCATTAGATGTTATTTATTAAGGCAAACACTAAAACAGATGCAGTTACTCAGCCGTGATGGGTTGTGGTGATCATTTACTTACTGCTCACTATTGAGACCAGCACCTTAACTTATGATGAGGTAGTGCATTAACTGTTCCTCAAAAAAAATCAAAATACATCATCACTGAAAATGTCATGAACTTCCACTGTATTTGGGCCTACTACAGAGGCCCTGTTACTTCCTTAATACCTTCCTCCCAGTGCTCTCTTCGTATGTTATTTCACATGCTCAAGAACTATGCAGAACTGGAATAAGATGCACAGGGGTTTTTAGGGTGTCATAAATATTTCAGACCAGTTTTACCTCAGAGTAGCAGACTCTATTTTTGGAAAACTGATCATCTTTAAAAACGCTGTAAAACATGCTGCTGAGTAACCTAAGTCATTTGACTTAGTTCCATCCAGGTGCCTTACCTACAAGAAAGTTTCTAGGCTTGTCCTCATGCTTTGTAACTGAATCTCTTTTCTTCTAAGATGATTATCTTATATTGTCAATACTTGTTTTAACACATCTCTGGCTAAGCAGAAGAAAGATGAAAATAAATACTGGACAAAATATAGGCTCATGAGTGAAGTAAGTAATGGATTGTTTTGTACGTCCTTCATCTACAAGGGTACATGAACAAAGAATAACTGCCAATAACAACAGGTAATAGTTGCTGCCATGGAAAGTTTTCTGACTGCGTAGAGATCTGACTGATATTGCTGGCTAAAGTCGCCTTTTATTTGACCTGCTGTCACCTTAGAAATGTGATTTTAAAAGGCAAACAGTAGGTCATTATCTTTCCTTCAACCAAAGTGTAGGTGAAGGTAATGTTGGAAGGCAACTACTGAACACAAAAAGAGGAAGCTAAATTTTTTTCTTAGCTGCCACTTTATATTTTTCACTGTCCTAATACATGAATTGACTGAACACGATGATACAGAAGCATCTTGCACGAGTGAAGAACTAACATTTGTGTAAAATCAAACATGCTGTTTGGCAAGTTATAAAAAGCTGTGAAAAGCCTGTCAAAACCAAATGCTTCAATATATTTAAACAAATATATGTAACTGGTTACAGATTTTACTTTAAAATACATATTTAAGAAAACATTGTGTAAGTAAAAAAAAGTGTGAGCTAGATGAAAACTTGCCTCTTTTAAACTCTCACATTTCAGAAGTGCTAAAGCACAAGACTTTAAAAATGTCCAAGCTCAGAAAGTTTAATTATAACACAGAACATATGGTGCAATGGCTTGTCAACACTGGATACTCTACACATCAGTCCTGGAGACTGGAAGCAAAGAGAACTGACTGAGAAAACAATGATAATCTACTGTGTGTATTTATTGTTATGGTAAAGTTTAAAATGTAATAAACCAAAAAAGGAAGTGGAACAAATTCCAAAACCTGCAGTAGTAGAAGTTACTTTGGTTCTTGATCCATACAAAAAAGGAATTTCTATTTAAGTATAAATAACAGGAAAAAAATACAGATAGGGATAGGAAGCTATTTAATCCATTAAACGATGCAATGTAAAGTGAAACTCCTGAAGCAGTAGGAAGGTTTTATTTTGGTATACATCAACAGAAGGCTCATCAGCTAGAAATTTCCCTGCTGTTTGCACAGACCCACACTTTGAGGATGCACCTGCTGGGCTTCCCAAGTTACTCTGTTAGCTCATGCTCCTAATGAACTATCTCAAAGCAAGCCTCACTGTACAGGTGTGAACACCGACAGCAAGGACCTGACCACCCTTTCATTTCCTCATGCTGTTACTATTTCTCTGCCTTATCAACATCAAGCTATGGTGCCCTGCTGCTGCTGAAACCATTCTCCTGATGATGAGTTTTCACTTAACTGTGTTTGAATACCACAGCAGCAGCAGCGCTCTGCCAAGCTGTTAGATGGAAGGCATAACACAGTGGTTTTTTCCTGATCTGGATTATTTACTCAGTTGTTCACATACTAGCGAGGTGAGAGCTGTAGCTTACACTGGTCCTGCAGCACTGGCAGATCTTTTTTTCCCCACTGTTTTTAATCAGTGCTTGGGCACTGGATCTTTTCAAGGTATTTTCCAGGTTTTGTCCATCTTGGACCAACTCATATGCAGGCAACGTGTGGAACCATCGTGCCATCTTGTTACCAGGTAAGAATACTTTTTGATAAAAAGAAATATTCTTTATTTTCATCCAGTTGCACTCTAATGCTTTAACAGTCTCATTACTCACTCAAGAAGTTACAATGAAAAGAAATGACCACCTGCTGCCTCTTAATATGCACCATCTCTCCTCAGTTTTAAAAAGTACTGTAAAAAAAGTACTTTAAAAAGTAGGAATCAGATCACCAAATAACTGAAGTTCACATATCAATGATTCCCCCGCATGAAACTTGGCACCTCTACTAGGAGGGTAAAAATCCAGAGGGAGGATGCCAAAGATGTTGGTCCACCCTCTGAAATCCTCTGAGGGACACAGGCCACCAGACCTGCTGTGTGGCTTTTGATTCTGTGTAAAAGGTACTTCGATTTCCTCATATTGAAAAATATATCAGAATGTTGTCAAGCAAGTCTGTCAGCATCCCTTCAGCCATCCCAATTTGCATACAACTCAGAGCAACAGAATTCCTTCCGCTGTCCCCAAGGAGCTCTTTACTGAAATAATCATTAATTATAATACAGTGGAAATACCGACTGGAACTAATTGAACCTTTAGGCTGAAGCTCCATTCAGCAATGGCATTAAAAGGTGGAAAGCACACTTTTTAGGAAGCATCTGGCCCAGGTAAATCCATAACATCCTTCTGATTAGTGTTGCATTCAGCTATCGCAGAGCCAAGCAACAAGCCCCCAAGCATAGCTTAAACACCGAAACAAACACAAGCAGTCCCCAACCGTATTTTGTAAGGCACCACGAATGAGTTGAAGGTGGCAGCTAGCATTATCGGACGCTGACTTGGTGGCTCAGGTACAAACTCGGCTGTCGGTGCCAATTCCCCGGTCAGCCCTGGTGTGTCCCAACTGGCAGGCCTGTGCCAGTCACACTAAGGTGTTGGGTGAGAGCCTCTGGACCGCCACCTGGGAGGTGTTTACCACTGCCTGTGCCTGCAACCGGCCTAGGAGACAAAGCCTCTGGGGCAGGAGGCAGCTTTACCCGAGCTAGGCCGCCCGCTCAATACGGCGCAGGCCAACCCAAGCTCTCCACTGCCCTTTGCCCGGCGCCAAGCGCGCCGGGAAGGGCCCGGCACTTGCTGAGCGAAGGCAGCTACCCCCGCGGGGGCTCCCAGCGGGGCAGGCAGCCGCGCCGTGACAGCCTCAGGACGGGAACTGCTCCCCAGCAGCGGCAGGGCGGAGGCCTCGGCTGAGGGAGCGGAACCGAGCGCCAGGCGCCCCGCGGCGTCACAGCCGCGCAGCATCCCCCCTAACCGCCACAGGGACGGGGAAAGACTGCCCGCACCCAGCACTTCCGACCCGTTCTCTCCCGCCCCGCCATCACTTCCAGGTCGGGGAAGGTGGCTTCCGGCGGGAGGATGTGGGGCGCGGCCGGGCGCCGCTAGGCCTCCGCCACGGTGGGCGAGGGGCAGGTGTCCGCCCCCAGCGCCCGGGGGACGTTGACCATTAACGGCCCATGAGGGCAGCGCAGGGCTGAAGGGACCCGGCCTTGGCGGCCCGTCGCCCAGGGGAGTGCCGCTGCCGTGCCGCTCCCGCTAACGTGGGGCTTCCGTCATGCAGAAGATGTTGATGTACTTCTGGGGCTTCCTGTACAACAACTACTTTCGGTTCTGGCTGAAGTGGCTCCTGAGGCTACTGACTCAGAAATGCGAACTGCAGCGGGTCTTAGAGGGCTCGAAGGCGGGTGCGCGGCGGACGCTGAGTATAGGTAATGAAGGGTGCCAAACCGGGGCGGGCTGGGAGCCTTAGAAACGGCCTGAATTATAGCAACAGTTGGGAACCAGGAGCTGCCCCGAGAGCAGAGTGCATTCACTGGATGGGGTTTTCAAACTTTCTTCCTGGCTGTTTAGTGAGGATTTTCATAGAATCACAGAATGGGTTGGGTTGGAAGGGATTTTAAAGCTCATCCAGTTCCAGCCCCCTGCCATGGACAGGGACACCTTTCTCTAGACCAGGTTCCTCCAAGCCCCGTCCAACCTGGCCTTGAACACTGCCAGGGATGGGGCGGCCACAGCTTCTCTGGGCAACCTGTGCCAGCTCCTCACCACCCTCACAGGGAAGAAATTTTTCCTAATATCTATTCACAGAGAGTTTCAAGCCATTTCCACTTGTCCTGTCCCTACACACCATCTCTGCAGATTTCTTGTCAGCCTCTTCAAGCACTGGAAGTTGCTCTAAGGTCTCCCTGGAGCCTTCTCTTCTCCAGGCTGAACAAGCCCAGCTTTCTCAGCCTGTCTCCATAGCAGAGGTGCTCCAGCCCTCTGATCATCTCTCTGGCCTCCCTGAGTCACTCCAAAAGGTCCACATCCCTCCTGTGTTGGGGGCTGAATGCAGTACTCCAGGTGGGGTCTCATGAGAACTGAGTAGAGGGGGAGAAACACCTCCCTCGACCTGCTGGTTATGCTTCTTGTGGTTCAGCCCAGGATATGGCTGGCATGATACCTGTTGATTTTGAGATCGAGTAATTGTGTTTAATTATGTGTATAAAAGTGATGCAGAGTTTTGTAACGTGCCGCAAGAACATCTATTGTCAATTATTTAAACGATTCAGTTCAATTTAACTGTGACATTTACTTTTTTCTGTATTGCAGAACATTCACTGGAATCATCGAAGAATAAGGTAAAAGATACTAGCGTTTAAACTATAATAGAAACTTCTTTCAGAGACAGATCCCAGGAAAGAGCATATGCATTTATTCTTTTAGGGTGGAAGAAAGTAGAGGTATAGAGGAGAGAACAGTATTTTAGGTTCTGTATGCTAGGGTTAGTCGAGGCTTCTCAAAAATAACCCTGTGTCCCTTCAAATGTTTGTTCCCATCTCTCCAAAAGTCTACCCGCTCTTCAGCAACTCAGGCAAGTTGTTATGCAGAGCTTGTGCTCACAGAGAGGGATAGTTCTCCCTGTCACAACAATCTCTGTTGTTCTTGTAGAAACCAGAAGTGTGATGGAGATTAATGATACGGATAAAGCAATTAAATGCTGTGTATACAATAATGTCTTGAATTGTTGGAAAAAGGTAATGCAAGTTTGCAGGTGGATATTGAATGACAAACTCATTCCAAGTGTTCTATAGCTGTTAAACATAAGCTAACACTTTAAACCCTCAAATGAACGAAACCTTGTCTCTTTAGACATTGAGGTGACTGCATTCTCTGTTTTTCTAGCTGATCACTGGAACATTATGTTGAGAGAGAATTAGTAACTGCCACAAGCATCTTTGTTGCAGTAGAGCACAGTATGGGTGGGTCTTTTAGCATCTTTTAATGAAATGATTATATCAACTATATTAATGTTAATTTTTAAAAAAGTTAAAATATGATTATATGAACTATATTAATGCTAATTTTTAAAAGAGTTAATCTTTTGCTATACTGAGATGAAGCTGCTTTGGTGTTAGTATGAATTGTGTTAAAGAATGCATTATGACCATAAAAAGTTTGGAAGATGAAGTTAAATTTTAGGTGGGCAGTGTATAGTTATTGTTACTAATATTTGTCCTTTACCTTAGAAGGCTGCAGAATAGCAGTATCTTACATTATGTTCTTTTGTTTCACTCTAGCATTGAAACCTCAACTTTGTTAGCTCAGCATCTCCTAATTCTGAGGCATTATTTCGTTACTGAAATTGTATCACTTTTACTCCTGGACAGATACATTTTTTTCAACTGGATTAGGAATAATATGTTTCAATTCAGCATTTGAAAGCAAAGGAGAACCTTGACTAGGCAACTCACAAACTTTTTATTTACTCTTTATGGGACTCCTGTGTAAATGTTTATAGTCTGACAAAGTTAAAAATTATGCTTTTATGTAATTATTGCATATGATATATATGCAATTTGATCCCATTTATTGTCAATTTACAACAAATTGACTGTTCTTTCATAGTAAATAATATGTACATGGCAAGTATACAGAAGCTGAGAAATAAGAATAAAGTAGAGGATAGACTTTTGCACTCCTCATAAGACTTTTACTATGTTACCTTCCTAGATTTTGAGAAATGCTGTGCATGTTGAGGAAAACGAAGTGGAGAAGTGTGTCAGAGATTTAATAAAAGAAAAGAAAATCAAACAGAAGGATACAGGGTATGTTTGGATCCCGAACAGAAGTTCTTCATAGCAGATAATTCTGATTTTTTGGCATATTCTAGCACTTGCTAAATCTGATACAATATTTAAGCCATTCAGCACAAGTATTTAAAAAGAAATTAGAAAAGAAGGTATTGTCGTGTCCTCTTCTCCTCTAGAAAATAAATTACCAAGTTTTAATTGACATGGATTTAGGATAACTGCATCTCTGTCTTGCAAGCTCCTTCTGTTACTCCTTATTTTTAAGTAATATGATTATTGCATATGTTGATTACATGAACTATGTAATTTCTTAGATATATTTGAGAGTATAGTGATGTCTGATGAATGTTTGCATTCATCTGCATAAGTAATTATGAACAGTTGGGAGGAAAAATTGTGAATAGTCAAAATTTTAAAGTTTAATGAAATGCTTTGAAGCTCTAAGTATTTCCAACAAAACTTTACTTCAGAATTTAAAATTCTAAGGGCAGGTGAAGGATGATATATGGAGTTTTCTTGTGTCATCACAGATTTCAGCTAAGTTACTTTTTACTTCCATAATCTAAGTGAGTAGGGCTTGACTGTGCAGCACTGGAATTGGCTAGAAGGTGTTTGAAGTAGAAATAAGGTCTGTATAGCAGTGTACTTGACCAATATATTGTGGTTTGAAAGATAAAACACTTCCTAATTCTGGTGTTTACATTGCATTAACATAAGAAATGTCTTATCTGGTAGTTAAAACAAGGATTTATAGCTAACTTTATGCCAAAAATAGCTATACCTCTTTATGAGCTTCTGTGTGGTGGTTTATTCTTATTTCAGGTTTAAGACAGATCTGCGTATATCCTTACTGCAGATATCAGGTTATAAGAAACTTTATTTGAATGTGGAAGATCTGAGGAAGATCCCGTATGATTCGGATAATGAAGAGCATGAAGACCAGTTAATTGAGGTGAAAATAATAATTAAATACAAAAACTGTTTGTTTGGCTTTTCCCCTCCAAGTCCAATAGCTCAAGTGAACTTAATTTATTGGTAGTATTCTTACCGGTTGGCCTACTAAAGCTCTTTTTACTTGTGAACTGCTAAGCCATTACTCAAGTGCCACATTAAAATACAACATCAAAGCAAAATAAACTAGTAAACTAGAGTTACTTGTGCTGGGATTATTTTGTGTGAAATTAGACGTAACACCACTACATAAATAGCAAAATACCTTTGTAATGGATCACTGAAGGATTGTAACTAAATATATATTTAATGTCTAATTTATAAACCAATAATTACCAAATAATAAAAAAACCCAAACAAAATGAAACATTAGTGTTTCCTTATTCCTGCATCCCAATTAGTGTCAAAGAGGATAGTTTCATACTAGAAGATAAAGCTATCAGTAGTGTATTTTAGGTAACAATAAATAATAGCAAGGAAATAATACGATACTGTTTGAGGCTTTTTTAAATAGCTTCTACTGTGCAAATACATTAGCATGTAATTTACAATTATCTCAATTAGCTATGCAAGTCTCAACACTGACATGTTAAGTAAGCATTCATTGATATTTTGTATTTCAGCTTATAGCTGTCCTATCAGAAAATGGTGCATAAATTGATGCTGATGTGAAACAAATCTTTGTCTCTTTAGTCTTGGTACAGTGGCTTTGTCTGTGAGGGGAAATGATCACATTTAATGTTAAATATAATCATTTTCACAGTGGTTGAAATAAGCTATTGTAGTATGACTCCAGATTGCTACTGACAGAAAAGAACAGCATGCAGATTGTATTCTGTTCCTTGGTGAATGGTTTCTAATGTCAAGTAGCAAGTGTGCTGAATTACATGAATTGGAATACTTTAGCAGCTGTACATAACATGGGAGCATATTTGTGCAGCTTTGGAATTTGCTGATGCCTCATGAGAATCTGAAGGCCAGAATCACCAAGCAGTGGTGTGACATTGGCTTCCAAGGTGATGACCCCAAAACAGACTTCAGAGGAATGGGACTTCTGGGGTTAATGAATCTGGTGTAAGTGAACAATAAGTATTTAATTTCTTTTGTAACAAATTTTCAATATCTGTATATATTTTCTCTAGATAGTGCTGTTTCTAATAAAAACCGAACAGAAGCAAATAGAAATGGTGGTTTCTGTACAATAAAAACTGGTATTTTCTAAATAAGTCAACATTTCTAGAGGTTGCACATCTGTAAATGTGCAGCTGAATAAAGGCCAAAAAGCAAGTTGAGGAACAGAAAATTGCCTGAGACATTTTTTTGTTGTCCTATGATAGATTTGGTAGGTTATAACTTAGAAACTAACTTGTGAATAGCTTTTTAAATTCCTGAATTTCTGTAATGAAAAATAAACAGGTTTGCATAATGTTGCTAAGCTAATTTGTAGACTTGGGTGAACTTCATATTTTTCAGAACACAATTATTTTTTTTTCCTATCTTTATAGTTCATACTGAATATAATTTAACTTGCTACCTTTGCCTTGGTTTCATTGTGTGCCATTTTTCAGTCCAGGGTAGTATTCAGTTTTTTGTTTTAGTTTAAAGCTGCACATTTTGATGTTGAACATGTTAATTTTATTTTTTTTGTTAATATATGAGCTTTACAAAACAATGCAAGATCCTGTTTTACACTAACAGGTATTTCAGTAAGCATTACACGGATGAAGCCCGTCAGATCCTTTCTCATTCACATCACCCAAAGCTGGGGTAAGTCACTATATTTGACTTTTTCTGGCTTGCTGTGTGTAAGAGCTCATATGAAGATCACAAAGCATGTCTCCTGAAAATAAAGAGGAGAATGTTTGTGAGTGGGTTTTTTTTCCCCAACAAAGGGTGAGAAACCTAACACAGAAGTCAGTTTAAGGCTGGGAACTATGTGTAGCTTGGTTTTCTTTTTTTTTCAGAATAGACTTGCTGGGACAAAAATGTTGCAAAATACTGGCTTTGGCTAACACACTGAGCACCTTTAACATCATAGTTATCCTTATTTGTAGTAGGCTTAGTTTAGAGTTAGAAATGAATACTTACTTTTTGCCACCTTATGATCCTGCGTTGGGATGGTAAGATGATCTGTTAAGCTCCCTTTTTTGGCTGGGTTTCTGTTCTGTGATGAATATATACAAAGAGATGCTTTGTGGTTGTTAAAATTTAACTTCATTTTTGAAAACTTTGTATATTAAAACATTTAGGTCATTTATAGGGAAATATACTCTAAAACTAGGCAGGTACAGAGGAAAGCAGGTAAACCTGTATATATAATCCAATCCATCTAGTCTCAGTCACCTACCAAGAATGGGAGGCTTTGATGACTTCCAACTAAATAATACTACCTTGTGCAATGGGGTCATGAATAAGAGATCAGAGACGCTTAGATCAATTAAATGTTCATATCACTGACACTAATTAATCATTTTTTTCCCTTCCCCCAGAAACATTTGTTTCAGAGGTCCTTTAACAATTTCTATTATGGTGCTTTCTCTGCTGTGCAACAGAAAACCAGATTTTTCTCAGCTTGAAGAACAGGTTGAGATGGCCATTCCATTTATACAGCAACAGCATCTTTGATGTCTGATTTTTAATATTCCAGTAGAGCTGGTGATTTGCAGTGAGCAAACTGAAGTCAATGCTGATTAGCTTTACCATCTCATTATTGCCTAATGGCAACATTTGTCATACTATTGTATAGGAAACTAATGTTTTTAGAGAACTTTTACATGGTTGGATGCACCAGGGAACAGAAGGAGTGGTCTGTAGGCCAGAGTCAGCTTGCCAACAAGCAGCATAAGAAAAATTGACCTACAGTTATCCTAATGCAGACTGTTTCAGGGAAGCTTTTAAGTCCTTCAATCCATAAGGTAACACATGACATCTGATTGGTGTTGCAGATATTCTTATGCAATAGTTGGAATCAACCTGACAGAAATGGCATACAGCTTACTTAAGAATGGTGCTTTAAAGTCTCATCTGTACAACATGGTCTTTGGATTGCCGCAGATGGAGCACTTCCATCAGTTTTACTGTAAGTATCTGTAGTTTCTGTAGGACGGACTACTGGGGAAGGCCTACAACGTAGAGTTGAGGGTGCTGAAAATGCACCTGATGCTTACACACTGTGCTACAGAAATTTGCATTTAAGGGATACATTTGGGTGGCTTTCCATCTATTAGAGACTGCAGTCTGAAAACTCAGTATTTGCACATTTTCTTTTCTATTCATTATTACAGCATCCAAATGCTTGCTGTTGACCATGATGGGACAGTCCCTGCTTTAAAGGATTGATTAGAGTCTAAATGATTGTTCTAGGTCTAGCTAGATCAAGGCAGAAAATTGTGGAGGTTTTTTTTGCAGGTCAGCATTTTTATTTCTTCACAGGTTACCTGGTTTACGAGTTTGACAAGTTCTGGTTTGAAGAAGAACCAGAAAGCATTATGCACTTCAACCACTACAGAGAGAAATTCCATGAAAAAATTAAGGGACTTCTCCTGGATTGTAACGTGATACTGACCTTAGGAGATACAAAGAAACCTTAACTCCTCTGCAGTCTATGCGGTTCTGCATCAAGAATGGAGTTATGCATTTGCATAGGAGTCTTGCATGTTCCACCAAAAACTGTTTAATAATAGAACCTTTTTTCTGTCTTTTTTGTTTTCTTACATCTAAGAAAATAATCAAAAGTGAGTTCAGAAAGCTTGGACAATCAGCCTCTGTTTACAGGTCTTTATATGCTATTCTCCAAAGGAAAGCTTTTTTAAAAAAACAAAATGCAGAACAAAAACCAACCAACAAGCCAAGACAAAAAATAATCCTCTAATCTCAAGAGCCTCTGGAACATTTGCTTTCACAATTTCTATTATACTTGGTGCAGGGACATGAAGCAGGTATTTATGCTGCATCATGTTTTCCATTAACAAATTTGACTGTTAAATTGTCTTTTAAAAACTTCTTTTAGTTGAAATTACTCTGGTTTTAGACTTCGTTTTCTAGTTCCTAAATGTAGTTGACGGTTCACTCATCAATGTTAAATTTCTCTGTAAAGATGTCCATGAAGGGGATGTTTTAGTCACTTATGATTTGGAGAACAGCCTTAATCCATCAACATACTGACATACCTAGGAGAAATTGCTTCTGGCTAAGGAAGTTTTCTTATCTGTGTCTTTGTACCAGCAAATTCCTGTGCTTGGAAAAAGCTTAGTTTGCAAACAAACAAAAAGAACCACAAATCATCAGTGTGAGGATCAGATCCTCTGACTAAAGCTACTCCTTCTAAAAATATTCCTGCTGTAAAACATTTCAGTTCTTTCTAACCTGACTTCAGCTGCTCAGGCTGCTTGACTCCCCATCTCTTGTCAGCTCTTCCTTTAGCAGCTAATGGGGTCTTCTCAGTGGGAAGTACAAGAGTTAGTTTAGCCCTTTTACATAATTCACTCATTAAAAACCTGTGTTGCAGCTGCAGTCCGTATTTTGTGAGAATAAACTCACATGAAGTACAAGTCTCTTAACAAAGATGTCTTTTCCATGGAAGGGATGCAACTGTTACATGTTTCTTAATCTTGGCATCCTCAGACAATCTAATCAATAGGACTTCATATCTATAGTGTGACTAATGATTGCTTAAAGCAACTATAAACACTTGTGGTATGATCATTGCTTCATTTTTTAAAAACCTACTATTAAATATAAGTGCCTTCTGCTTTATTCAATCACTGTTTTATTTTGTTTCTGTAACCAGATCATAGCCTTAGAAACTTGATTTATTTGGGAAAGACTCTTTTGAGTATATACCTAAATAGCACACAGTGGCACAAAATATTTGTATGCTAATATAAGCTTTCATGCCTTTGTTTGGTTTTCGTTTAATCATCTCAGGTATATCAGTTAACTTTTGGTCAGTAACTAATCATGAAGAGATTCCTGAAGAATATAAATATTGAACACAAGGAAAATGACAAACCCATTTTTGTAATGAGTATTATTACACTACGTAAGTATTAAATGTATTGTTATAATATGTAATACTACGTCTGCTTGGAGATAATCAAACCCCAACTGGGCATGGCCCTGAGCAGCCTGATTTAGGAGACTGCTCTGGGCAGGGGGTTCGACTAGGTGATCTCCAGAGCTGCCTTCCCATGTCTGTAATTCAGTGAGTCTATGGAGTAACTAATAACTTCTTGCACTGCATCTGCTCAGTTGCTTTTGATTCCTTAAATGTTGGTGGTCTCTTATTTGTGGGAAGGCTCCTCATTAGGGTAGCCAGTATAGATGTAGAAGGTAACACAGTTGTTTTCTTTTTAGGATACCTTCCATATAGATGAGAGTTAAACAATTCTCGATTTTAACATGTGCAGGGTAGAGAAGCGTTCTTCTCATCTGTGTTGGCTTGAGGCTATTCTACTAAAAAATAAAAGATAATGTGAAGATGCTTGTAGGGAGAATGTTAATGGCTATGCCATGACTTGGAAGCCGAACAGCTAAACTGACTAGATAACAAAACTGACAGCAGGAAACCAAGTTCTTTTGCTGTTCCCAGGTATTTGAGTCCTGTAATTATCACCACTAACAAAGCTGGATCCTATGGTGAGTGTTCTGGGATTCAGGTCTTGCAGTGGAGCTGTTTTTCCTGACCCTTGTAGATACTGTCCATTCCTAAAACCTGAGGAAGGAGGTGGAAAGTAGACTCTTTCCCAGTGGCTGGGAGGTTAGCTAGCTGTTACTTTCTAGCCCCAGCTTCTGTCATGTTTGTCTTCGTTAATAATTTTTGCTATTGCTTGCAGATCTGCTTTGCAAACAACATAAGACTAACTTTTGGAATTCCAGAAGTGACCCCAATATGTTTAGCAGCAGGAGGAAAAGAGAGCCCATTGGTTTTTATCTACTGCTTGCTAGAAAGTACCAGAATTGCTTGAGCCATCCTCTGAAGCACTCCTCTGTGCCAGAATCTGCAAGCTTTTGATTTTTTGTTACCGCAACAGCTGCAAATTAACTTACATCTTCCTCTTTCCAGCCTTGGAGCTTTCACTCGGCTCCTGGTTCACTGGGAGACTGACGTTTAACTGCTGCGAGGCTTTTAAAGCCCAACCATCAAGCTTCGCATTTCCTATCACACACTTAGGACTTTTTAGTGTAGAATGTAGGCTGAGCCTGCTGCGATGCATCTACTGTGGCAGTACACAAGGAAAAAAAGTAAACCCAACCCTCATCAGATGAGTGAGATATATGGGAATGCATTAGTTTGCATGTAGTAATTAAGGTGAACATTCTGTTAGGCTCCAATACACCTTCCCAGTGAACAGGTAGAATGTGCATGTAGTTTTGTATGCTCAAGTAGCCCAGGCCTTGTGTCTAGGAGTCACTATCTGTAGACTAGTACTGGGTGTCCTTGTTTGCACCAGTCATAGGATAATTGTATTATGGTGGTAGCTAGAAAATATATGGGAAAAAAGTAAAATTGTGTTTAGGGAATAACAATGTTTTACTAGTCAGCATTTTATACTAATTGTTGTAGGGCAACAGTCCTAAGGTTATGGTACTGGAGGTAGGCCACCTTTCTGCAAGTTGATATAATCAATTTGTCTATATAATGAATTTGTCTAACAGCAGAATTTGTTGCTTGTGGTTTCAGTCTAAGAGTCTTAAAACCTCGCTAAAATCTTTTGTTATTTATTAACTGTCATGTTTTAAAGTATGTATTAACTAGTTAGAATTTGCAGGTACTATTAGTTTTCTAACTTTCTGCCTCTTGAAAGCATTCACAATGTGAAAGCTTATATGCAATAATAATTTTAATAAGAAAACCCAACAAAACTGAACACAGTGAGGTGGTTCTCAAAGTATTTTGTTGTTACGACAGGAGCAACTGTTTCAAACTACCTCCACTTACGTTCTTTAGTGGGTGCTTGAAACATGGTGCCGTTCTGTGAACAAATTAACCTGAAGTAGAAGTTTACCACAAGCAAAGTATAATCTAGTCTTTTAGTAAGGAGACATCACTTCATAAGTAAGAGACTTGTGTGGAAAGTAGTGCTATTTAGGAAGGAAGGAACTGAGGAAGTTTTAAAAGTGGTTGTCCTTCTGTCATCTGATAGAGCAGCATAAAGAATAGGGCACTATGTCCTAAAGGACTGTAGAAATGGGGCCAATTTAAGCACCTCAGCTAAATAGTTTTGGATTTTTGCTTTTTGAAGAACAAAACAAAACATTAAACACATACACAAAGCGCCAAGCATTTCCAGATTTTCCATCCTGGCTTAAATAACAGACATTTTACAAAACCATATCGGTTAGCCTTGGTTTTAAGAGTTATCGTGATGAAAAAGTTTGTGTTTAGTTAGGTGGGAGTTCAGCAGTCAGTATTCTTGGAAATACTGCTAGTGAGTTTGTGGTAGATGTAACCTGTTGTTCCTTTCTGTCATCCTTGGTTTGTGTTGCAGTAGTACACTGGTGATCACTCTTTGGGCTGATGTTTCTTGTGCCAGTGTAGATAACTGTCTTCGTCTAGGGGAGTATAAACAAAAACCAGCCCCAGACAGGTTGTGGGCAGTTTCCTCTTCTCACACTGTGCTTAGATAGCTGCGTACTAATAGAAATTTCTGTTTACCGCAGTATAAAAGCAATAATGTAAACTGTGATGTCTGTGGAATAGATGTTTACAATGGTAGCAAATAAAGAACAAGTTACTCTGGAATACTGTCAACATGAATGTGTTCTGGCCTGCTAGAAACTGTAACAGTTTCCAGTTAGCCATGCTCTCAGCTCATCGCTTACACCGCAGTAAGACCGGAAGCTTTACCCCATCTTTTTTTGTGGGTGTTTTTTGCTCTGAGAACTTGTTTAGTTTATGGTTCCTGGGCTGGTGTTGTGCCTAGGAAAGGCATTGTTAGGAAATAAGCCTGCTGCACAAACTGCTGGAAGTGGTAGGCAGCACAACATCTGTGTGCATGGAAACTGAACTGGAAAATGCAACAGCTAGAATAAAAGGCTGGCTGGCTCACATGCATTTTCTAGTTTTTGTCATCATCTAAGATATCTTCCTTGAGTCAAACACCAGAAGAAAGGGACAAGATTTAAATCTGAGATCTCCATAAAAATGGTGTTTAACTATGAAGGCTGGTCTGATACTATAGAAACACACTTACATACAAGTCCACTTGAAATCTGACATCTCTTGTAACAGGAAGTTGTACAGTGGGAAAGTCCAAGTTTGACAGACAAACCAAACTCAACCAAACCTGCCACCCTATATTGGGAGTATCGTGCACTGGAGTCAAGACCAACATCCTGTAGTTCACTCCTTGTAATCCCAGCACTGAAACACACATGATGCTGCTGCTAACAGCATGTCACACATTTCCATTATGAGCCATATTTCAGTGTCATGTTCCTTACCACAGTTTTGTGCTAATTATTTGCTGTTGGCCTAGTTTTTATATTTTCACTATTAATCAGCATTTTAAATGAGCATTAAAAGTCATAATTACTGCTTGAATTACGTAACATTTGACTTAAGACTATCTTCTAGTGGAGAGAAAAAGAAACAACACAGAAGTTTTCTTTCAAGGAGAGGGCAAGCCTCAGCAATAGACATAACTGCTTCACCTCCTTTCTTGGTGTAATGTTATACCTTGGCTTGTACCTAAACTGGGCAGCACCAGTCACGGATCACCCCTCTCCCACTAGTGCATTTTTCATACAAAATAGACACAACAGCATCAATAATTTTTACAGTTAATATTTCACTGCTGATAAAAAGAAGTCTTCTATCTACAGTGTACCTCTCTGTTACCGAATTACCAAAAACTGGAATAGATAAGAGATTATGGTTAAGTCAAGCCACTCTCAGGGATGCCAGAAGCTTGGAAACTGACAGCACTGTAGCTCATCAACTCACATAGAACCCAAATTGCAGGGACTTGGCAAGTTCCGCACCTGTAACCCACCCGTAGAGCCACGAGCACCTCCTGACCTACTGCAGTGCTTATGCACCTGTATCATCCCCTGTCTTTCCCACAGCCTCGCACGTACCACATCCCATATACCATACTGGCCTCTGCCATCCTGATTTATGACATGATACCTGACATCCACTCTAACAGAAGCTCTAGCATCTCTGTAGAGCCCCTAAGGTGCTTTTCTCTTTACAACAGTTTTGATGTGAAGTTTTCAGTAGGTTTAATCCATCACATAATAAGCTTTTTGGTTGCTTGCCTGAAACGTAACACAAACCATCACAAGCCTTAAAACACAACCCTCAGCTCTAACCTACAATTCAGGAGCCATAAGATGCTACAATGAAGAAAATCAGTACCTCTGAACTTTTCATACGTTACCAGCATCTGAGTAAATGAAAGACAGATTGGAAGAAAACTCAAGAATGTTTATGGCTTTTTTTTTTTTTTAATAGAGAAAGCTCTGTAAAATAATCTTGTGCTCCTCCATCTGCTGGCTGCCTGTTGGCTGGCAAGCAGTACCCTGTTGCCAATAGGCTCCTACCAAACTAGAAAAGCAGCACGCATCAGTGTCCAGTTGTAAATTTCACCTATGGAGAGGAAGATGACCTTCCTTTTCCGAGCCCGGCTGAGACTAACAGCTCTAACTAAACTTTACAGTTCACAGATAGAAGAGTCTGTATCCCAAAACATGCAAAACACAGGACATAGGGCATTTCTAAAGCCATACAGGCTTGCTTTCTGCAACACATACAGGTAAGCCTTAAACATATTCACTCACGTTTCCTTGAAGGTTTCACATTACTGCATGCTGGTCAGCTGAACTCCTCTGCAGTTTTCCTCACATCAGCTCCCATGCAGCTACTAAAGAACAGGTCACAGTAGATCTTGCCTCATTAAACAGGCGACTGCCAGGTGGCATTTGGCATAAGCAGCCTTACCCCCCCAAATCTGGGTAAAATCAGCTCACCTGGCTGCTACGTATAGCAAAGCTGTTCCTAAAGATGACTTAGGAGCTTTGTGGACATGATCAGGAGGGTAAGGAGCAAACCAAAAAGAAGCTGCCTTGTAAAATGGCTCCTGTTACACAGAAATCCACCTGTGTATGCCTCTTGTTGTTAAGAGGAGTTGTAACAGCAGAAAAACTTGTCATGACACATTATGCCCCCTGCCCTATGGGTGGGATGCAGAGCAAAGACCTTTCAAGAGTCAGAAATGGCTTTTATCTGTGGTGCTTGCACCTCCAGGAGTATGTGGAAGACTGCCAATAGGCTTAAATTCACTTTACCATGACAGACACCTAAAAGATAAATATTTTAACAATTTGCAAACTTAAAATCATCAACAGTCTGGTTAAGGATGTTAACCAGTAGTGCTGAAGACTTCTGTGGTAACTTCCTCAGCTGCCAGGCATTACAATAAGATGCCAAGGTCAGAGCAGTGTGCTTTAAGTTAAAGCCATATTCTTCAAAGTGGTGATTATGGCTTCAAGTGAACATCAAATATAAACCAGCTTGCACAGTCTCATATGCAGGAAGGCTATACTGCTTTTTCATACTGTTACATGTAGGCTATATATGGCTAAATTACAAAGAAGAGAACTTCATTCCAAGAAGAGACAATCAACAGTAAGTGAATGAGACAGGGAATATATGAGCAGTGCTCAGAAATTAACAGCTCTGTTTTGCAAATTAACTTTGTATATACACAAATACATAGTAACTTTTAAAAGTATAATTCACCAAACAGAGCCCCGTCCATGTCTGTTCTGTCACCACCATGGTTTGAGGCTGACATCTCAGCTTATCAGGACCCTGTAAAAAACATTCTAATATTTAAAGCCTTAAACTCATGCCTGTGAGATACAGCAAAACACAGATCATGAAGTACCTGGGGGTCCTGGAAAGTCCTAACAACTGTTGTCACTAAATGCGAGCATAGCAGGGAACACGAATGACACGAGATAGCGTGAGAGAAGCTTGCATGGTTGCTTGTTGCAGATGGAATTAAACACATTGTAAGTGGTAAACACAATGAGGCATGGTAACAACAGGTTTGTTCTGAAACATGGTGTTGAAGATCCAAACTCATCTGTGTAACAAACCACAATCACCTACTTTTCTCTCTAGCATGACTTTAATACTTAAAAACCAAATCTGTGCAGTGTACTTTATTTGTTCACGTTACCTATCAGTGGTTAAAAAACCACTACATCTGACAGTTTAAAAGCATTCTTTTAAAACAAAAGAACTAAATGTAGCTTCTGCTAAAAAAATCTGCCAGTTCCATGGATGCAATATACAGGAGTATAAAAGAAAAAAAAGAAATCAATAATATTCTACAGAAAACATTATCAAAACAGCAAATAAAGATTAGGCATGTAGGCATGATCCTGAACTTAAACAAACATGAATTAAAAAACAACAACAACAAAAAAATCATTAATACCTGTATAAAAGCAAGGATTCAAAGTGCAGGTGCTCCAGTTTTCATTTTAACATATTATTCAGTAAGCTGATACAGGATACTATTCATTTTATATAAAGTGACAGTGTTCTCAGTTAGACTTAAACATTCACTTACATATCTTGCAGATTTTTGTTTTCCATTACTGCTACTTTACACTTGTAAATGAAGACTTACGCAATATAGGTTTTTATTTTCTTACTCTAACAAGGATATAATAGGTTGGTGGTAAAGGTTAGTTTTAAGAGCTAAGCTATAGATCCAGCCTTAGAAGTGTATATGTGTGCATATATATATATATAATTTTTTTTTTAACTTTTAAAAACAGCTTTTGATTTTTAAAAAGAGACTCTACCAATCTGTTCTGGGACCTGCATGTACTGTCTTTGGAGCATACCAACAAAGCTTCCCAAGTCCACTGTTAGGAATACAGCTCCAGGCAGGGTCATGCTGTCAATCTTCCCCCGGTGGCCATAGGTTGGAAAGGGCTTCCTCCCTGCTTTGGTGCAGCCAGGGGCACTGAACCCAGGGAAAGGCAAATGGGCTTCTGCCTTCTGCTACAGGAGAAATGATCACATTGAACCACATTTGCCTTATAGGCCAGCTAGGCTTGGGATGGACTTCTTCTATTTGAGTGTTCCAGTCTCAAGCAGTGGAAGTTAGGAGCCAGGCAGGTGTCACTGAATTCATCTTTAATGTATTAAAGAAACATAAAATGAAGCATACATTAAAACCCACTATCTGCTTTGGAAAAAAAGTTACATAAAATAAAACTGTCCTTCAGGGATGTTGCCTGGAACTTAATTTCATGTGAGGTCCTATTCAGGTTGACAGTGTCCCTTTAAATCTTAGGTACTTTATGTTTTGTTTATTTTTTCCCCAAGAATCAGATCTCTCTATAAGCCTATTTTAAAAATGCACATAAATACCAGCATTAAGTTTACATTTAGAAATGAAGAACTAATCTTTACCATTTTATATTGACAGCAAGGTTAATAATACACACACTTCACTGACAACCGATACTTTTTCTCTGTATTTTGAATAATTTGCATTTGTGTAACATTTCGCACAGAAAGAGTGATTATACTTCAAGATAAGTTACGTTTGCACCCCAACATTTTCATGTTAGTGAAAACTATCATGGTTTGAAAATACCATGGCCTGTGCCAGGTACTAATAAATACAGAATAAAAAAAATAAATAAAAGCCCCGACTGCCCTTTATCCCGACATAGTAGAGATTTCATAGTCACTGGCCGAGGTGATTGGTTTCCCCCTCAGCCTTACATTTTTAGCATTAGTAATCCTGGCCATCATGGACACAGGCTTGTCAAAGTACCTCACCAGCGCTGGCTCAGTCAAAAGGGAGGCTAAAAACTGTTCAAAGGTAATGGCCCAGTCTCTGTCAATGCTAGTGCTTCTCCGAAGAGAAGTGGTGTGGTTGCTCCGTACCAAAACGGTGTCTTCACCGATGTCCTCGCAGTGCAGCTTTTCTTCTTCGTGCGAACCTGCGCTCAGTACCGAGTAGGAGGACATGGAACTATCATCTTTCGTATCGTCATCAGAAATAAGCATGGAAGAACAGGCTCCGTTGTCCCTGGGTGAAGAGTCTTCGAGCTTGATGTCTTCCATCTGCATGCCCAGGGTGCTGTCGGTGCAAACTGCCTCCTCGTCATTGGTGCTGAGGCTGCTTTGGAAGGGCTTGTGCTGTTGGAGGGGGTACTGCTGGTGCTCCTTCTTCTGGAACAGCTCACTTTGAATAGTTTTGCTGCAGTTGCTGCTGCTGCTGTCTGTCTCTTTTGTGGGCTGCACGCTGAAGAGCTTTCCAACCTCACCTATCTCCAAAAGCAAACTTGTAACAGCAGCAGTAGCGTGGTACAGATCTTGTTCATTGGGGTCTTCACTGAACATATTGTACATTGTCTTGCACAGTTCAATGAACTGTCCCTAGAGCACAGAGAGAGGAAGCAGTAATGAGAGAGCAGGAAACACATCAGACTGAGAGCTACTAAATCAGTTTTCAAAGTCTGGCATGGAGGTATGACACAACAGTTCATGTGATTAATCTGAAACTGAAATAAGCTAGATGTGGTCTAGAAAGCTTTTACTAAGGCTGGGCAGCCAGATGTGTTGCCTCTCTCAGAGCTATTCAGAATGAACTGTTGGATCTTTTGTCCCAACAGATGACAAATCTATTTCTCTGCAGCCACAGGAGGGCAACAGAGGGTAAGCAGTGAGACACATGGCATTCATTTTAGTGGATTTTCTTGCAGGAATGATGCAAAGTATAGCTAGTGGTCCAATAAAAGTAATAAGCAATGAAAAATGAAAAAAAGACCTGCAGTGCTCTTTTAATTGACCACAGGAACTTAGCTGGATGTGAACCTTTCATAATTCAAAGCTCACAAATTAAATAGGAGGGAGATTTGCTTAAGGCTATCTTAAGTAAGAAGCATGTTCTACAGGGAATAAACCTTCTCTGTATGCTCTGGAGGAAACAGCTGTCCCCATCGGTCTCCTCCTCCTTAGCAACTATGGATCTAAAGGGAATGAAACTGACAGTATAAATTGCAAAACAAAATACTTTTTTCAGGTAACATGTACTGGACATCATGTGCTAGCTGATGATAGCCAGTGTTGTATCACCCTTTGTCTAGAGATCAAAACAGTATGTAATCATTCCTATATACGTGGGTTTTTTTAGGATGTTTTAATACTAGCTACAGAATACTGAAAACAATAAACTTCTGCATCCAGCTGACTGCTGGTCTGATAAAAATGCATCTGCCTCAAAATAAAATCTTGATTCAGAGTTAATGTATTGAATATTTGTAGGTATGTGAAGAAAAAGTTTGAAGTTAATGAAAAATAAGTAAGTACCAGTAGAAGTACCTGATTCAGTTTGGGCAAGTCCTTTGTGTTTTTTGCTTTGGATTTATTCTCTTGGCTCCACATTCTCAGGTAATTTCGATTATCTTGTGAGCTCTTCTTGCCTATTGTCAACAAATTACCCAGAGAAGCAGGAAAAGTCCATGAAGAAACCTTAAATTAACACTTTTTTTTTTCATTTTCAAAAGGAGCATCTTTACAAGAAATGAAAGACATAATTCAAATGGAGACATCATGCATACCTTTTTCTGTTTTCAGACTCACTGTAACAAACCCATCATCTACTCCTTGCTTGTTCCTGCTGTCTAGGCCAACAACTAGGAAGTGCAGGGGCAGGGGGGGAGAGAGATTATCAGTGTGGTTTTAGACACATACATACTTTTCACATGTACAGCACAAAACACAGGAAATGATTACACTGCAGAAAATGCAGAGCAAAAAGGATAGGATTAAATGATGACTTTTGCTTATTCTTAAATCTGCTGACAAATTCCATACAATTAATAATATAAGTACTATGACAGGGCTGCGTGGAGACCTCATAGCAGCCTTTCAGTATCTGAAGGGGGCATATAGGGATGCTGGGGAGGGACTCTTCATTAGGGACTGTAGTGATAGGACAAGGGGTAATGGGTTAAAACTTAAACAGGGGAAGTTTAGATTGGGTATAAGGAGGAAATTCTTTCCTGTTAGAGTGGTGAGGCACTGGAATAGGTTGCCCAAGGAAGCTGTGAATGCTCCATCCCTGGCAGTGTTCAAGTCCAGGTTGGACGAGGCCTTGGGTAATACGGTTTAGAGCGAGGTGTCCCTGCCCATGGCAGGGAGGTTGGAACTTGATGGTCTTAAGATCCTTTCCAACCCTAACTATTCTATGATTCTATCTTAGGCTTTGTTTATGCAGTACTATGATTAAGCTGTGTTACAACAACACAAACAGCTTCTAGCACATTTTATATTTGGTGATTATATTAGTGAAATTTCTGTTGTCTATCAGGAATTAAAACTGCCATCCCTAGCCTATTAATAATTATCTGTATTTTCAAACAACCTTCCTTCCCCCAGTAACCTGAAGCTGGAAACAGAGAGAAACTTAGTATCAAGTATCTCTAGAAAGAGAATACCCTTTAAGACAACAGCTATGAGACCAGACTCTCATTAGGGCACAAGAAGAATTCACACTACATTTTGACACATCTTTTGGCTTCAGATTTTTAGAATATTTTAAGTTCTGATCCAAATATATATTGAAAGCCAATGTATTTATTGGTACTCTCCACTGAGGCATGCATGCTGTGCACTTATGACAAAATTACTTCTATTGCAACACACTGATTACAACACCACATTATTCTGAGAGTGCTTTGCAATGCACAGTATAGGGGAGTTCTTAGTGTACACATACCTGCACCTCTAAGGATATCAAAATTCATACATACTTCTTTTTACAGAGTACACTTAGTAAGAGTATACTTACAGAGTTACAGTAAAAAAGTAGCTTCCTAAAAAGGCATGTTGTTTGAAATGCATTACCTTATCTTTTCATGCCCAAGACAAAAGATGCCTACCATGTGTACATTCTGGTGTGATGTCTTCAAAAAAGTACTGAGTAGCTTCAAAAGCAGAATCTGGTTCTTCTTGCTCAGGGGATGGATCTAAGTAATAAAACAAAACTCCTTCATTAAAAATTCCACCCTTTAATTACTAACTAGAACACATTTCCACTGATACGTTTAGAATGTCAGTTTCTAAAGTGTGAGGATGCAACGGGTTAGGAGTCATCTCTTTTCAGCATGTAGATGAAAAAAAGGACCTCTTCTGTCTCCTCCCTAGTATCCAGTACTAACTTTCTCCTCCATGGTATCTGACTAACAAGGAGCTGTCTGCCTTTGGAGGCTAGCTTGCCCATCTTCCCATGTCTGCTTCCATTACTTTCTTCTGCGTAGTTCAGCTTGTCCGCAGCAGGGTACGAACTCTTTTCTAGATGGAAACAGCCTGTCATGATTTGACATGAGCTTACACATCCTCAAATACCAGAGGCTGCATTCTTAAAAATGGATCTCTTCTGTTACAATTCAATAAAATTGTACTTGTTTCTAGTTCTGTTACTAACTCACTGAAGCATATACCTCCAGCAAAACCAGCTGGGAGCAATCAGGGACACATGTTTAAAGCGCATGAAGGTGAATGTTCTCTCAAAACTTTTAGATACCTTTACCAGAGGATGGGTTGCAACTTATGTAAACCACAGATTCAGTGGGCCATCAACAGGTTCTCTATGGCATGTGTGTGACAAGCCAGCCAGATAGTTCCAGGACATAATTTTCTTCAGGGACAAAACTGTTTTGAGAGGTTTCCAACCCCCTCTCCATCCTAACTGCCTTTCTCAGTTAGCTGGGTGCAACAGATGGAAAACACATCTTTGAAATGATCTGGAGCTTCCCTGAGCAAACATTTCTATTATCCCAGAGGGGTAACCATGAAGAAAACCTGGGGACAGAAATGAGCAGCCAGGGCACAGAGGAACATTTTAAGCTAGATACACCGTTAAATAAAGTGGATTATGGTAAGAGATCCGTAAGTTGAAGAACACTGTATTTGCTGTGCATGGGGGAAGTCACCAACCCCAGCTAAACAGACAAGAGACACATATAGATAGCCTCCCTGTGACTGAAGCAATAGAGTACCGCATGACTGCTTTCAGACCTCCTAAATCTGTACCTGGTTATGACAGAAGCTCTCACTGCTGCATAAACAGCTGCAATAATTCCTGCAAATTAATTTTTAATTGGGAAAGCTAGTGATAAACAACTCTGCTCCAAATTTCTGTTCTCAACAAGACAATAATTATTTACTAATTAACACCATTTACTTACCAGGCAAAACATGCATTCTATACAGAAGCTTCAGCTTCTCTGTAAGATCTCCATGACATGCTGCACCTAAAACAGCATTATATAAAGTACATTAATACTCAGCATTCAATTCTATTTATTACTGCTACAATATTTTGTTTTAGATTCTTCTACATTCACTCTGGGAAGAACTGTACTCCCTTTATGGCCCGAGATCACAAGGCAGTCACTTGACTTCTAAGATCATACAATCCACAGTAGAAATAGCAAGAGAACACAGACAAACTTGCCCTGAATTTTGTACTTCAACCTTAGATGCTTCATTAAATGTCTATTTTATAACACACAAAAATAATCTATGATCATCACACTGCCACTCAAATAGGCCTCCAGCTGAGAGACCGCCTTTTTGTGTGGACTTCAAAATCTTTTATCAAAAGATCCAAAAACATCACATGATTGAGAACAACAAGATACGGAAAAAAAAAAAAGGAGAGAATTTCCAGTAAACAGCATCATTTACCACAGCTACAGCTTAGCAATGGCCTAAACTGATGTTCAAGGCAATGCTTTCTAGTGATTTATCCACCCCAATCCCTATGCATTTCTGGTCTACGCTACATCTAGCCATATGAAACCCAAGCAGTCTATCACAGCTTCTCCTTCCACTTAATTAAATGGATATTAGTTAATTTTAAAGTAAAAAAATAACCGATAATCAGACTTCTTCATAAATCTTACTTGTTATGATAAGAAATTCATAAACAAACCATCATTAATGAGGTTATGCACAGAATTAGTTTACCTTGCAGGCTATAGTGTCAACTTATGCAAACTGCAAAGTGTGGTTTGGCAAATGCTGACAATCACAGTGTGCTGTAAAGCTTAACACTCCAATAACTACAGATATTAGACCAAAGAACTGAGTACATTTACATTAGCTGTTTTGCTTTCAACTTGTTTTTTAATCAAAAAACCTCCTTATGCTCCCATCTGGTGTTACCTGCACACTGTGCAGATACTGCTTTTGCTTTTGGTGAAACTATGTCTTATGCACCCAGGTACCCCACTGCTAAAGTCAACATGAAATAACTAAAGCACAGAATGGGCCGCAGTTCTGTGTCCTTCAACAATGCCTAGGAACACATTCACTAACCTAGGAATCAAGCCACAGGATATTTGGTGACACAAGCCTACTTGGACTCTTCTCAGATCCTCTAGGTCTCCACCAGGAGATGTGAGAAGTTTTACAAAGGGAAGAACAGCCTACTGGAAACAAAGGAACTGCCTTACAGCTGCAGGGGCTACCAAATATATGAGACTGATGCTGTATTAAGCAGTAAGAAAAAAATAAATCAGGCTACATTCATAAAGACACCATCTGCTACATGTGCCCCTATTATGAAGAGTTAGGAGAGACCTCTGCATGGGTGGACATCTCAGCTCAGGCCACCATTTTGACCTTCACGCTGCAGTATACGGACAACTTCATAGGAAGACCCCAAGAATTTGGTGGCCTCCTGCACAGCCCCTGCATCCCCAAACAGCAAAGCAGATGACCCTGCTGAGAGCACGTGAACAGCACTGGGAAGGTGGTAAGACCATTCCTAGTCCTAACCAGAAATACTTCCTCCCTGCACTCTGGAGTCACAGGTCTTAAAACCTTCAGCAACTTTCAGCAAGTCGTGTGCTTTGCAGTACGTGTCTCATACGATGCACTGACAGTTCTTAACCAGGAGTTTTAAATTTACTTTGCAATGAGAGAAGAAACCTTGCTTGGAAGTGAGCAAGACTACACCCTTTGAATCTTTCTACCTGACACAGCAACAGTGAAACTTGTCACCATCAAGCTGCAAACAATGTCCTCAGACATGCCTGCTCTGCACCCTGAGGGCTTAACCAGCATGATTGGAACAACCTTCTCTGAGCTCCCTTTCTGACTGTTCTTGTATCAAACTATGCCAACGTCAAGTCTTTTCTGGGCAGCTGATCTCTTAAAGTCTTCAAGCTATGCCCCACTGGGCTTAGTTTCTGAAAAATGTGGGTTTGCAGAATAAGTTTTGGCTGTTTAGCCCATTGAACATTTTAGTTCAGTCATGTTTGCTTATAGCTATATTTGCGAATTTTACATTAATTTATGTTCACAGTGCTCAACACTGTTCCTTGTTCTTATCACTCATTATTTGTTCTAAAAATTGCTGTCTTAACCAGTAACTGGTTGACTGCAATTAACAGCATCCGGTAAGCAGCAAGAGTCATTGGTCATACCTCAAAAGGCCATTACGTGCTACCTGACCAACAGCCCCTCAAATACAATTCAGAACCGCATCACAGGAAGCACTGCAGTTTTGGGTGATGTGAAGGGGAGGTGTGCGATCAGTTTTACTGTCACATAAATTTTATACCTGTGAGAGAACAGGTCTTACCGTTGCTGTACAGAGGTTTCCATGCAAGGCTGCATTTGGAGCCCTAATGCTTTAAAACACTGCTACAAAAGGTTGCTGAAAGGCAAACTGGGAAACCTTTGCTCTCTCCTAAGGATAAAAATGTAAAGCTGGAGGAAATGTCAGGTTACCACGAAATAACACATAGCAGATTGTGAAATGTTGGTCATTTACAAGGAATAACTCCTGCTGTATTCACAAAAAGGGGTGGCCAGCTCCTATCTCAGATTTGCTTCTTCATGCTAATCCTGGGGCTTGCACATTCCTTTTGTTGTGATACTGACTGTTACAGGTGACGAGGATGATGAAGGGGCTGGAGCACCTCCCATATGAAGACAGGCTGAAAATGTTGGGGCTGTTCAGCCTGGAGAAGAGAAGGCTGTGTGGAGACCTCATAGCAGCCTTTCAGTATCTGAAGGGGGCCTATAAGGATGCTGAGGAGGGACACTTCATTAGGGACTGTAGTGATAGGACAAGGGTAATGGGTTAAAACTTAAACAGGGGAAGTTTAGATTGGATATAAGGAAGAAGCTCTTTACTGTTGTCGTGGTTTAAACACAGTCACGCAGCTTGTTCACTCACTACCCCCCCCCCTTCTTGCCCTCCCTCTACTTCCGGAGGGACAGAGAGGTGAATCGAAAAGAATGCACCTCCCATGGGTTGAGATAAGAACAGTTTAGTAACTAAGGTATAACACAAATCACTACTGCTACCACCAATAATAGTAATGATAAAGGAAATAACAAGGGAAGAGAATACAACACCTCATCACCAGGCGACCGATAACTTGCCCCACCCTGCCTGACCGAGCACCGACTGATACCTCCTCCAACCCTGCAGTCCTCGCCCTTCCGGGTAACTCCCTGGTCCCTCCTGGGCATGACGTGCTGTGGTATCACAGTATCACAGTATGTTAGAGATTGGAAGGGACCTCAAAAGATCATCTAGTCCAATCCCCCTGCCGGAGCAGGAACACCTAGATAAGGTTACACAGGAACGTGTCCAGGCGGGTTTTGAATGTCTCCAGAGAAGGAGACTCCACAACCTCCCTGGGCAGCCTGTTCCAGTGTTCTGTCACCCTCACTGAGAAGAAGTTTCTTCTCAAGTTTAAGTGGAACCTCTTGTGTTCCGAATACCTCTTTGGTCAGTTTGGGTCAGGTGTCCTGTCTCTGCTTCCTCCCGGCTTCCCCTCCTCCCCGGCAGAGCATGAGGCTCACAAAGTCCTTGGCCAGACCAAACATCTGAGCAGTAACTAAAAACACCAGTGTTATCAGCACTGCTCCCAGGCCGAAAATCAAAACCACAGCACTGCACCAGCTACCAAGAAGGAAAAAAAATGACTGCTACTGCTGAACCCAAGACAACTGTAAGGGTGGTGAGGCACTGGAAGGGGTTGCCCAGGGAAGTTGTGAATCCCTGGCGGTGTTCAAGGCTGGGCTGGACAGAGCCTTGGGTGACATGGTTTAGAGTGAGGTGTCCCTGCTCATGGCATGGGGGTTGGAACTAGATGATCTTAAGGTCCTTTCCAACCCTAACTATTCTGTGATACTATGATACTTATGGAAGCACTGGAACAGGTTGCCCAAAGAAGTGGTAAATGCTCCGTCCCTGGCAGTGTTCAAGGCCAGGCTGGACAGAGCCTTGGATGATATGGTCTAGTGTGAGGCATCCCTGTCCATGGCAGGGGGGTAGGACGAGATGATCATAAGGTCCTTTCCAACCCAAACCATTCTATGATTCTGTAATACCCTCCTGCTCTCTCTCTTAGCCTGCAGTCTTGGTTACTGATGTGCCTTATATGTGCACATACATTTCTCAAAAGTCTTCTTCCTGAACAGAGCAAGAACACACAAAAGACTTTCCCAAAGGAAATACTTTGATTAGAAATAATCACACCATTAAGCAAACAAGTTGCAAGTCATTTTCATGTTAAGAGTTAGTGGTCAGGGAAATCCTCAGACCCTAATGGATGTGCAGCTCATGTGCAGGCTTGTTCGTGTGTGGTACACCACCAGCTAACACAGATGCGCCTACTGAGACCAGCCTAAACCCCAGTGGAACCACTGTCACAGGCATAATAAAATGTGCTGAACAGCAGCACGAACAGCTCTTAAAATAAAGGTAACTTACACAAATCAGCATAGGTCAAAGTCATTACCTGAGAGTTAATATAATATCTGTGTTTCTGTAGGACTGGATCTCCTGTAGAAACAAACTGTTTTGGTCAGATTATATTGAAACTGCTGTGAATTCCCCTTACTTAGCCCAGAGACGAATTCACGGAAGTTGATAAGCAGGTCTCCATTTTCATCAAGAAGCCTGAATAAGCGTGCAGCTAATACATCTGAATGAGTTCCACATGCCCAAGGAAAGAGGAGAGCAAACATCCCCTTGAACTGCTCAAAGTCAATACGGTACTGCTCCAGATAAGGCAGGCTGGGATCATGCCGGTCAGTAGCATTGCTGTTTCCTCCCCAGTAGCAGCTAGTCAGATGTTCTGCCTGAACAGAAGGCAAATGCTCTGTAAACAACTCATTGCTACCAATGAAGAAACCGAGAATCCACACACAACTCATACACAAACATTATTAAAACAACACAAGAGGAGCAGATATATTTCCATCTACTTCACTGTTGCACTTCTACAAGAAGGTTCTTCTCTAACCAGCACAAAAAGACATCCTTCTACGAATAAAAGAAAGCAAAAAACTTTTCCTGCCTCCCAGGCAGCAGAAACATGAAATACCTGTTTTAAACAGAGCTGTAAACAGCTGTGACTTGCATGCATAGACATGTTGCATATACATACAGTAAGCTCCTTGTGCTTAGTCTCCCCCTTCAGCCTCACTACACAGTCACATCAGAAAAGGGACTCTCATGAAATAATCTTTGAAATGTATAGTTCAACTGTTTCGTTGAACTCAAAAAATACTGTGCAACATCCTACTCTTTCAGTCTACTGAATTCAGTGAAAGTTCTGGAGCTGATTTTGGTAGAATCTAATTCAAAACAATTCAGAAGCTTAGAGAAAGAGATCCTAACACTGCACAGTGATCAGCTGGGGTGAGCTGTCTGACTTGGTATGACTGATTCCATGGAGGACTGAAAGAAGGTACTACAGGATTTGGACAACTTTAGGACCTGATATTACAGATGGGAAATTGAAAGGAAAGAAATTCTTCCTCATATGCCAATAAAAGTCTGCTCTAACAAAAACAGAGGAAGAAAGTATCTTCTTTTAATGCACTCTGAAAGTGAAGCTAAAGCATTTTAACCCATCACCATTAAATTTATGGATCTAATGGTATTGCTGTATAACCAGCCTATGGAGATGTATCACTTTGCGACACTGAATTACCATGTAATAAAGTATACATTAAATCATTAACAATGGCAAAAATCAGGTACTGTGATGTGGCAGTATTAGCTGTCTGAGATTGTAGAATACAGGTATTTATGTGCTGAATTCCAAAGCTTGGGTTAGATAGGTAGAGACATGCATAAGTTTTTAAAGACTGATCAAATGCCTCTCTCTATTAACTTTTCCATTACAATAGATTTTATCAGTATAATTCATTTTTTCCATGGACAAATAATGTATTGAGTTACTTACTTCCTGAGCTTTTAAGGGCTGGTTGGTTTGGGGGTTTTTGGTATATATTTCAGTAACAGCTAATTTAAGTTTGCATTAAGATACCTGATAGTAAGCAACTCACAGACTCAACCTGGTCTTTAGAAAAGACACAGTCCGTTATAAGAAATAAACATTTGTATTTCCTGCAGGCACAACATCTTATCTTTACTTAGCTTTACCTTGAAAAGAGCATACAGTTCCTCCAGTTCATCAATAGTAAAAGATGTCTCCGTCACAATAGTTCGTACCTTTTGAAACACAACATTATCAGTTATGGATTTGAAATCCATGACTCACTGAAAAGCTGATTTAAATTTCAGAAACTGGCTGGTCTTAATCTTTGCAAAGAACATTATTTCAGTACGTACCACATTGCGCTTTGTAGTATCTTCAAGGGTTTGAATAACCTTCAGCCTTTGTTTGAATCTCATTTGTTCAATTAAATCTGCTCGGATACTTCCAAATTTCTTAAAAGACAAAAAGAAGTGCAGCACAGTCTGTGTATTAATATTTGGAATACTCATAGCTTGCTTTTAATGCACTTGAGAAATTAATTATACCACACAAGTGTATTTTAAAAACTGCTGTTAAGGCATCTTTCTAACATATGACAAAATTATGAAGGCTTTAGGAATGCACCTCAAGATTTTGTTTTTCCCAATACCTTAATTCAATTTGAAAGGTCTTCCTTAAGTGACAAATCATCACATTTCAAACCATAATCTCAGATGTTATCATTTCTTGCTTGGCCCATCTCTAAAAACAACCCTTCTGCAGGACTTTTATTTCAACTTGTCCTGGAATATCTCAAGTATTACAGAGAGAGATGTTTAGACTAACCGGACCTCTAACAGCTGAGGCAGCATCACAGTCCTTACATTCATTATATCTGAAACTGAGCATCAAGAATGCAACTTCCATTAAGAAGATCCTCTAAAGTGCCCAAGCCTTATTTTCAGAAGGTTTTTTTTCACAACTCGGTCAAGGAGCTTTGGTGCATACTACAGAAATATCCCAGGGGAAGCCTATTAAGAGTAACACTCCATGATTTTGTATGCAGAGGAATGCCTAAGCTCCAAGGTTTATTTTTGTTAATTGTAAGTAGGTTTTTGCCATCAAGAAAACACTTGTAACATACTCAGAAATGCAGAGTTGACCAGGAGGAACAACAGTATCAGACAAAGTATGCCATACGTAAAACTAAACAGGAGTGAGGAAAGATACACTTTCATTCAGGATGGATTTATATTTCCAATGTAAGTGCATCTACATAGCAGGTCATAATTTGCTAGCACAATCTTGTGTGATCAAATAAACACTAAAGCTGGGTTCATCTGTAAAGCTGTGCACCTGTATCATGTACCTCAGGAGTAAAATTTTGTTTCATGTACCAGGAGCATTCTGCAAAGAAAGAAGTCTTTTGGGGAAAAAAAACGGTATCTAGACAAAACACCCATCAACCACCACAGGGGTCACAAAACCTTGGAAAGAGAGGTCTGTTGTGGCTGTGAGGCCACATCTATCCCACAAAGCTTATGCTCTGGTCTGGAGGCCAACGGAAATGGTCTGTTACACCCATAAAACTAAAACTCATGTAGCCTACAGAATAGGAAGGTCATATGCAATTACCTCCTGGGTATGGTCCCTCACTGATTTAATTCTTTTTTTCTTTTTAAATAATCAAATCAGCCAAATTGTTTCTCCTCAAACACATTCTCTTTGCTACTAGCTCCTGCTTTCCTCACAGTCCTTTGCTCCCTGTTTGATTTGTTTTGCCTAATTTTACTGCAGTACAGCTGGTTATTTATCTAGGAGTTACAGAATTCTGTGCTGCCTAAGCCTCAAAAAGACAGACTGGCTCTGCATGGAGTCAGGTTATTCACCTGAAAGCAGTTAAGCCAAAACAAGCTGTCTCCATGATGAGAAAAATCAGAAAAATACAAGGAAAATAAGAATTTCACATAAACTTCCTTATCCCCATTCTAACACTGTGTGAAGAAGAACTATACGTCTGACTTGAATCAGTTTGCCCTTCAGGGTAGAATAGATGAAGGATTACCTACTTCCTTCTTAAACAGATATCATGTTATTAAAGCAAGGAGGTTTTAGGGACATGGGAGGTGCCTCTGAAGCAGCTATCATATTGGTAAGTATGCATCTACATCTTAAACTAAAAATAGCAATTTACCCTGCATGTCAGGGAAGGAAAAAAAAAATTAAAACCGTAACTCTTTAAAATTATTCTTTAATTTTCATTAAAAAATGACTATGTCAGTGTAATCACCATTTTAACTGATGGCTTATTTTTAAAATTTAAGGGCAATGAGATTGTTTTGCAAATTTTAGGGGTTTGTGCAGGCTTTGTTCTGTGCTTTACAGATACGAGTTGTTACCAGCTCCTTTCACATGAATTATTTTTCGTTTTGGGTACAATGGAGAAGCTAGTGGCCTAGAAGCTAGTGATCAGAATCAGCACTTGCTCAGAAAAACAAAGGAAAAGAGACAAAATTCCTTTGATAACAGAAAGGTCTCTGAAGTAATACAGATTTCACTAATACGTCACATCAGAAAAGTATGAAAAAGCTTTTCTGAATTACAGGTTCAGCATATTGTTCGCAAATCACCTTTCCATTGGGGACTTCTCTCATCTGATGTTGCAGGCTTCTATATAAAACAGCTCCAATTAAAAGTTTTGCTTAAAAGAAACACTGAGACCTCTTCCCTGCCCCATTTCAGACTTCTGAGATGAGTCTCTATTTCTTTTATGTTCTTTCTGTTCCATGCAAAGCCAAACTACAGAGTACCAAATGACTCTAAAGCAGAAGCAGTGAGAGTTGGCAAGCTCCTGTTAAGAAATCCTATCCTACCTCATACGAAGACCTGATTAGTCTGAAGATATCCACCTCAGGATAAGGCTCTACATCATCACTGAGCAGTGAGTGAAGATGAGGAATAGGTGGAAGAGTGCTGTCCTTATTAGTTATGCTGTCCAAATATCTGGTGTGGGGAGAAAAGAAAAATAAATGAGAAGCCCAAGATTCATTTGTACCCCCCTCCCTTCCAAGGGTTAATAGAATTAAGGGTTATATGTAGAATATCAAATGTAAAATTGATCCAGCCACTCTGCTAATGAACTACATGACTTTTGACATCAGTAATTTGACAAATCTTAACACTGCTTTTTCTTGAAGAGAGCCAAGGTAACCCTGGTAATTCATTACCCTTAGCAAGAAATAGCTCAAACAGAGCTAGCCACAAACGAGTAGCTTATTGAACAGGTTTGTTGCTTCTGGCTGTTTAAACATGCTAAAGAATTACAACACCATGGCAACAAAGGTCAGTGTGTTTCAGTCTAAATAACCCCTGTCCTACTACTCCCCAGCTTCGCTTCAAGGGGCTTTAAAGGGCTTGTTCCTTCCACCAATGCAGCTGCTGTAAATCATCTGTCTTCTACCATGCAGTTGCAGAACACTTAAATCCTCAGCAGTGACTGAGGCTTATTTCAGAGAAAACACAAGCAGAGTCTCCTTTAATCCCCAAAGAAATTAAAACCAGAGCTTAATAAGGCTATCCTAATGAAACTTCCCAGGAAAAAAGATTCCAAACTTTTAGCAGCAACTTGAAAACTAAACACTACTCCAAACTCAACAAGGAATCAGAGGTTACACTCATCAGTATTAATTTGTGCTAAACAACTCAACCCAGGTTATTTATCAGCCTCCTATTTAATTGAAATTTATTCATTCAGGAGCCTACCTAATTCTTCTGAGTTCTGTTTAGTCCATTCCCAAAGAATTTATAGTTGGTAACTTAGCATTATTTTAAAATACTATAGAGTGTCTTATATGGGCAAAAGGAGACTGTAAGTATGTAAAAGATTTACATATACTGTACTGGTTTCAATTTTGTATTTTGACACAGAAGAACCCAAATCAGAAAAGTAAGCAAAAAGAAATGTAAAAGAAAGACACTTTATTTTCTGGAATAAATACCTTCCCAAGACTGTCATGGCTTCTCCATCATCTTTACAGTTAAGCAGCTTGTCTACATTAGCATCGAGGACAGCGAGCGCTAACTGAAATATCACCTTTATTCCTTCACAGAAGAAACAATCCACAACCACCACTGCACTTTCAAATGGCATTACACTGAGGAAAAGAGTGAGGAACCAGGACAGGGAAATGGTGGATATTACACCCAAGTCCTGCATGCAGTCATAAAGCTGTGGAACATAGTCACGAGCCAACTCTTCAAAGACACCCTGATCCACCAATGCTCCTGTTGAAAATAAAGAGGTTGGATGTTGATTAATACGGGAGCAACTGACCACATCACCACTTAGGGGAGAAGAGTATACACACATACATTCTCTTTACATGGAAACATAAATACAAAACCTAAGAGTATTCTACATGATGCTTACACACATTCTCTCACTTGCAGATAACAACAAACAGATTCTATTCCGCAACTGAGCTAGAAATACCAATTGAACCTTAGTAAGTTTTGTTTTAATTATACATTTTGTAAGAGCTAACAAAGGGTCACTGTGGTCCAGCACCTACAGAAGTTATATGAGGGCTTAGTACTTAACGTTACTAATTAGAATAAGACTTCTCAGCATCACCTCTTGGTGGAGTCCAGGGTGACTGTAAAGGTTTGGATTGGTTTCAAGAGAAACATACCTATGCTGTAACATCAGTGTCTTAAGCAGGCCAGGAAGAATAACTTCTAAGGCTGAATGAGGATCTCAAGCATTTGTGAGCTACAGTAAAGACTATTTCCATGATAAACTGAAGGGCCATTCAGTTCCACATACACAAGGAAACTGTCATCTAACAAAAACAGCTTTCAGATACTTGCGGCCTTTCAACCAGAGAGAAACTGGGCACAAAGACTTGTACTGCAAATTGCCAAAGCTCCTCTTTCCACCTTACTTTTAACTAGACAACCAGATCACCCAAAATTCAAAGTTTGGCCTCCCATCTCTTTTTTTTTTTTTTTATTCACTTTAAGCCCATTTTAGAATTCCATCTAATCGTAAGTGAAAAAAATACTGAATATCACAGTACCTATTTCTGGACTTGCTTCTATGCTCCTGACCAAAGTGTTTTGCCACTAGCATTCACAGTTGTGCCTATGCCACACATACCTCTGCCCATACGCTTGTTTCAGTACCAATACCACCAATTTGGTTAATTTTTGTACTGTAATTTTAGCAAATTTCCCCATAACATACCAACAACTCTTGTGTTGTAGTAGTCAGGCAGCATACGTTCACACAGAGCCACCAGCAACCAAAAAGCCTCCTCCTCTTTTGCGTAAAGGAGGAGTACTGAAGTGACAATATTCATAGCCTAAAGGAAAGAAATAAAAATTACTAAACCCATTTATTCGATATCTAGCATAGTAACTGGGCAGATAAGTGGTTACTATGCTTAAGAAACCAGCTACATCTCCCCTTGCGGACTCCAAATTGTTCACGTATCTTCCTGTGAAAAAGCAGACAGTGTTTTCTCAGTGCTCAAAGGAAGGCTTAAAAAAGTCTCAAATAAACCACAAAATATCATTAGACATTTTTCTTAAGGAAAAAAATAAATCAAGATTTCTTTTTATAATAAAGGGCCTAACAGGTCTGCAAGCATCCAGTTACACTGCTACTGATAATTGTGCCAGGAAGTGCTCTTGGGGAATCTGGGTCTGATGCAGACAAAATGCCTCCTACAGCACTAATGTTGGCCGCTGCTGTACCACTCCTTGCAGAGGCAGTCTGCACTCCCTATGGTTTCTGCTCATATGAAAAAGTCAAGACAGCATCTGTGAGCTCAGGCAAATGCCTGTAATAGTGTCGGTCATGAATAATGAGAGCATAGTGAAACAGAAGCCTCTTGCTGTTGCTCACTCTCCATGTTTGTGTGCACAACAGTTTTTTATGGCCTGTTCCACTCCATTTCAAATGGCATTGCATTGTACAGTGACCTCAATTGTTCGCTTACAGCTTTTGACTAGACCTCTGCTAGTCTGAAGAAATGAAGTATTTCAGTACCATTTTCTTCACAGTTTGCCTACTAAGGAATTAGCTGCTCATTTCAGATCCTGTAACATTTTAAGACTCCAGTTTCATCATTACCTGTTTGAAATAGTAACTAAGGTTTCAACTGAAACTTGGAACAATGCTGAAACTTTGTCAAATTCTATGCTATTCCTTTCAGCTCCTAAATTGTCACTGTGACTGTGAATCAGCATTCTGAATGCCACGGACCAAGTCCCAATTACTGTGACAGCTTCAGGAACCAGAATCACAGTGTCTTTCTACTGTTCCTGTTAAACAACCTTTACAAAATGTTATTGTAGTTACTACTTCATATTGTACATGTTATTAAATAATTTATGATGGTATCTGTTGGAATTGCTTGCACTTTCACTTACTGGTGTTGTACCTGGGAGTCTTAACATTCAAGACATTAATCAGGCTCATGAATTCAAAATTCCATTTTGCAAAAATAGGTAGGAAGGTGAAAAAGGTGCCCATGCAATAATTCAAAGTTACATAGAAAAAAAGGCCGATTTAGGACCAGGAACTAGTGTGACTGGAATCACAGGCATAAGAACTCCAAAGGCGTGCACTGCTCAGCACTAACTCTACTGATAAATGGTTGCAAAGCACAAGGACAAGATACCTTCTGGGGTTTTGGTCTGAAATGATTGAACAGCATAATTTAAAAAAATAAAAATAAAGGAGGTTCTGGAGGGTTATTACAATTAATACGTTAAATAAGTAGGTAAAAATTTAAGGTTGAACAATTAAAGCTGGAGGCTTTTTTCTACTTCAAAGAAAGAGTTCATTTGTCATTTTCTGTTGACACACTTCAGGACAGCTCTGTTGTTATCCTCTGTCCAGTTTCTAGATTAATGGGCAGAAAATATGCTTACAGAAAACAATGCACATCTCAGCATAAGCTGCTAATACTTTTTGTTAGGAGTAGGTCCTTGTGTCAAATTCCTCTGACCTCAGCATGACTGTAATTCGGCAGCACGGAGGCTCTCCCTCACCGTATTATACATGTATTCATCTGTGTACTTTACACAGCCAATATTCATGTACATGGCTGAAGAAATAGTAGTATAAGGAAATAACTGGAATTCCAGAAACTGAAGGACTGACAAGGTATTTCAATTACCTGACAATATCCTATGTTTGGATTTCTAAAAGCATAAGCTGTCAAGACTCTCCTTAGAGCAGCAATACCCATCTCATTCTGGAATGCAGGGTGTTCTGGAAGGGAGCGGTGCAGATCCCTCTCTATCTCTTCTGTAGCAAGATTATACTTCCCCATTGATTTCTCCACCAGGTCCTCATAATAGCCAGGATGAGTGGCCATTTCATTAATGGCTCCTAGGAGTGAGAGAACAGTATTAAGACGAGGAGAAAGCAAGGGTTAGCAGATACAGTATCCCAACACAACAATCTCCTGCTACCCTTTATCTTGGATGCCACCAGCAAGCACTTTGACAGCAAATATGAAATGCTATTTTTGTACAGCTGATTAAAAACCAACCTGACATGCTTAGGTAATTGAGATGCTACCCCTTCTTGTCTTTTCCTCAAGGCATTAAAAAAAGAAAAAAACAACAAAAAAAAGGAAAAATATAAAGCCCCTCTCTCTTTCTGCTAGAATGAAACAGAAGACATGAAGAACAAACCAGCTGTGTAGTCACACAGTATCATGAGCTCTCTCTGCAGCTGGCTGTGGGTGTGATCATCCTACATAATTCAAAATATGCCTCTGAGAAAGCTACTTACCCTGTGGAGGGAGTATATTAATGCCTGGTTGCAGAAAGTATGATATCTCAGCCAAAGAGAAAAAGACAAACTCCTGAGCTCTGTTCCTGCTTCTGAAAATGACTCTGTCACCTTGAGCAAGGCACTCAACCTGTCTTAGCAATGCTGTCAGAGCTGTCATGAGATTTCACTGCTGACTTTAAAACTTCTCTGGAAATTAAAATCTCAGCAGCAAAAGAAATCAAGTGTCAGCAGCAGAAAGCAGTGTGTACAGAAAACACTAATTATACATACACCATGAAAACTGGTCCAAACTAGCTGTTAATTAGACATAGAACAGATTTGTGCATTCCTGTGTATATTTGCTGAAAACATCTGTTTAATGCCCAGCAGCAAAGAGAACATGTACAAAGATAAGCATTCTTAGGGAAGAAACATCATTAAAAAAATTATTTAAATAAAGAGAGCAGTTCCATGCTACATGCTTAGACTTTGGAATTCCTTGCAACAACTTGCTGTGAAGGCCAAAAGCTTAACTGGATTCAGAAATGATTTAATACATGGGAAGTAGTCCTCCCGGTGGTTGTCAAACATCTAGAGGCCCCCAGACTGCTGGCTTCTGGTAACAGGGTGTGTGTTCTGCTTTTTTATATTCTTCCCTAATTTCCCTGTTTGAGAAAGGGTATTTACTGGCCTAAACAGATCTTGTCTAAACTAGTCGGCTGTCTGCTAACAATCACAGCCTTGCTTGCTCCAAATATTTTTAGACACTTACCATCTGCATCTTTGAACATCTTTGAAATGCTTTTTTAACTCACACTTTTAGTTATATCCCAGTCTCATTTCAAATGAGTACTTGCCTGAAAACAGTAGCCAAAGTTCTCCTCTCATGCTTTCTGGAATGCCCTTCAGCACAAGATCTCTGGTTTTCTCTGTGCGATACATACAAACTCCTTGGCCATATTCAGCAAAGTGAATTTTCCAGGCCTGTTCCTTCAAAAACTCTTTAGCCTAAGAGAAAAAAGGCAAGCATAAAGATGCAGTTTCTAACACTCTGCCCCACTGAAATGCTAAGCACTAAAAAGCCTGCAATGTCCTAACTTCCCAAGTGAGCAAGAAATAACTTGGCTATAGTCCGATTCTCCTTTTAATGGGCTGCCTCCTCCCATTTCTTAGTTTCTATCCCAGTAGACCTTACTGTTAAAAGAATATTGTTGAAGCAGTTGTACTTAAGAGCAGGCCTAAAACCTCTCCCTGATTTATATCCAACTTTGCTTTTCTTATGTAGCAAAATTGTTTGTACTGGTAAAATGACAGCATGTTCAACATTTCTGTGAAAAATGCTGCCTCTTCAGCTGTCTGTGGCAGAATGCTTCCACATTAGAAACGTGGATTTTAAACACCACATGATCTAACAACTTTTTCAGTCAGGTACAGCACTCCAAGGTGTATTTTACCAGCTTGGGGTTGAACTCCTCGGGTGACCTCCGCCGATACATTGTCATTAAAGCTTGAGTTGCTGTTGGAATGCCATTGTCATTGAGATTGAACTGTCGCTCTCCCTCAGACTCAGAGCTGAGGCTTTTATGAGGGCTGGCAGAAATAACACTACTCGATCTTGTAAACACCTGCAGAAAGCAGTCACAAGCAATAACAGACATGGGGCTTGATTCTAGACTTTTCATTTTACTTCAAAATTTATAATGCTAACAGCTAACAAAACCTGAGCAAATTAAACCACCCAGGTACATTCACAACATATGACAGCAGACATTAAACCAGTATAGAATAATTAAATTGTTTCCAGTTTCTCAGTGCCCCCCTGCCCTGGAAAAGTAACCAAATCCTATCATTAGAATTTAAAGAGCTAACTTTAAGTAGCCCTGGGCATTAAGGCAGCTTCCTTAGTCTCCTGTCAACATCACAGGACTGTTGAATTCCCAGATGGTTCCTTGACCATTAAATATTTAAAGATTTAAATAGAACATTTTTATGTGTGTGTACACAGACATACACAAAATAAATTATTTTGTTCCCCTCACTTAAAAGTTCTATAGAAAATTCAACACTGACAGACTGTGATTTCAAAGAAAAATATTTTGAAGAAAAAGGATTTTCTAGCTTCTCAAACAGCTTTGAATATTTATCACAGTAAGATCTCATACGGCAGCTCACACCAAATGCCTGAAATTGAAATTAGTAGCCATGCATGTCTAGATTTGTAGTCACATTATTAATGTAATGCTTGCAATTATTAAATTGTGTTTATAATTCAGTAGGTAGAATGCACAGATCTATTTACGGCAAAAAGACAAGACAAAGTTTCAGTATTATACACATATGCATATGTGCTCTAGTATACAGCTAAACCTCCACACTAATTATACCTCACCATCAACAAAGCAAGTAAAAAACTGACTTTAAAGATTTATATGGCAAACAGGGTAGGGCTAACTGGTACAAGACTAACGTATGGCTTAGTACAGATTTTGAATGTGAAATGATACACCACCAAAGCGTTTTCTGCTTTGAGATCTGAACAACTAAACTTTGTTGATTTTAACAGATCTGATGAGGTTGGAATATGAAGCATGTTTTCATACATAAAACCTAGGAATTCAGTAGACGCCATGATATTCAAGGTGCCTGAGTAAAGTTTATCTGATAATATCTTTTAAGAACCACTTACTTTGCCTAGGTAAACAGGGATTTGATTCAGAATAAGGTCACCTGGATTCTAGGGTGAGGGTTGTTTGGGTTTTTTGTTTGGGTTTTTTTTTTTGTTAGTTGAAATGTTCCAAAGTTCACTAGCAGTGCACATGCAGACTTGCTCAGCTTAGTAAGATTTAGCAGCTGAAGCCCTGAATAAAAGGAATTTTGAGTCAACTGATAATTTCTTCAAATTATTAAAATTCCACAATTACATTTTGATTTGGACAAGTCAAACAATATTATTCAATTAACCAGTTACTTAACTACGGCATTTTCAACAAAATACACTGAAATTCCAGAACATGGTAGCAGGAATTAACAGTAGCTCCTCCACAGCAACGGTGATTTCTCTTAAGTCCTACATGAAAAAAGTAGATATCCTAGCTGTAACATTTAACTGTTCTGCTTAAGGAAGCTAAAGGTGTTAAAACAAAAGAGGAAACATTTCTCTGTACAGAGGTTTAGCTTCACAAAAAACTTACAAGGTTTTTTCCTGGCTTTTCTTTCCCCACACCAGTTACAGTCCCCTTCTTCTAGTAAAGAATTCCTTCTCCTCCACATACCTCATCATCTGAGCTCATATAGCTTCCAGAAATATTTTTCTCCAGGTATATTTTTGATGTGGTTTGTTGCAGAAAGTCTGAGATTCTCTGTACAAGAAAGTCTCTGTCTTTCAGGTTGGCAAAGAGGAATGTCATTCTGTTTTTTGTGCTGATTGATAACGGACTGGGCAACACACTGGAGCTGTCTGCCTTTTCCACTATCGTCACCTAGGGAGAAAGAATACCTACAGCTTAAGGTATTTAATCAGGTTGCTTGGTCTAAGAAACCATCTTTATACAATAAACCCATAACATTCCCCCTTATGTCGAACCACTACAGACTTCCCTCTGCAGGAAAACAAACACAAACAACTGGCTTTAGTGCCTTTTCCAGCAAGACTCCTTTGCACTGCTTAATTTTCCTCAGTCTTTATTTTTTAAGAATCAGTAACAGAAAATTACTTCGGTGGGATACAGATCTACGGGCTCTTTTGTAGGACCTTGGAACCATTTTCCTGCTCCTCTGTACCAGTACAGGATGGATCAAAGACCTTTGCTTACTTTTTGCTAACAATGTATGTAAGATAACATGCCTGTTCTACTATATTATAATTACATATTCTGGAAACAACTGTTACTGCAAACATACTTTCATAGTACACAGAAACCTGAAACAAAGGGAAACATTCCTTACAAAGGAAGACATCTAACCCTGTGAGGTGGAGGTTTCTGTTTGGCCTTCAGTTGTTAGTGAAACAGTCACTAACCTAACTGACCTCCAGGCTGTAAACAGTACTCAAACCGCAATTATACTACTGAGCAGAAGGCACTAGCTCCCTGAGGTTTTGGTAAAGCACATTAACACAAAGAAATCTCAGGGATCAGTTATACAGTGTGTGTTCCAAACATTACAAATTATTAAGAGCAAATAAACCAATCAATCAAGTTTGTGCTGTTCATACATTGAACAAATCACAACTGTAAGTACTCTTAACCACTGCTTTTATGACTTTAAACAATTTCCTAGGCAATGAAAACTGTTTTATTCCCTTCAGGATAGAAAAAAGCAGATTTCAGTTTCTTAGCACCTTTACTTTTGCTTTTTTCACTTTTTTAAAGATAGAGATCAATGGTAAGACATTAGTGCTTTAATTAATTATAATAATTAATTCATACTAAGATACTAGTATTTCTCTACTAAGAAGATAGGATAACCACTTTTCACACATTTTCTTTGAAGATGTAGTTAACGACTGCAATACACAGCTTAGGTGTTAAATCACTTCTCTATCCTTCAAACTTCCTTTTATTTTTCTGTTAACCACAAATTTATTAGTTTGAACACATACAGTCTCTCTTGGAGGACTACTTTACTGCTACAGAACCACAGTACCTGCCTGGAGACAATTTACAGTCAAGAGTCTTTATAACATGCACAAATCTGCCAAATGCAATTTGCAAAGAATTCCTGGAAAGGAAAGAAAATCTTCGCTACTTTGCACACTCTTAACAGTAATTTCATACATCAGTTTTTTAGGATTTCATACTTCAGTTGCACAAAACTACTTTTGAAGTGCTATAATCTAATTTACCAATTACATGCTTTTATTTTTAACTCTCTTCTCCAACTTATTTTCAGGGTCCAAAGGAAGCTTACTGATTAACTTACTGATTAACTAATTCCTCATTAACTTAAAGGACATTCACTAATAGCATATTGAAATTAGCTAAAAAGTGCTCCTACGTAATTTTCCAGTTCCACATGAACTGTTTGAACATAATCAGCTCAAGACAGACAAATTCTAGAGGCACAGGACAGACATTCCAGCAGGCATGCCCTGCTATAATGAGAGCTAATACTCACTTATTTCCTATTCAAGTAAACACACACACATATCTGAAGTACTGATCTTGAAAACTGCACCTCCTGGGTGCAGTAAGCAGTGCAGTCAGCCACTGAGAATCAGCTTTCCTGATCACCATTTCTGAATCAATGCTTCGTCATTGTCTCATCAGTCATAACATGTTCAGGCTATCAGAGAATACTGGAATTAGGTTCAGGTCTGACCCAAAGCTTTAATTAAATAGAAAGCTTCCCTTCAATTATTAAGGGTACTGATCAGTTGCTGAATCTGCATCCAGGAAAAGAGGTCCTGACAAATGCAGACTTTGTTCTGCTCTTCCATCACTCCACCTAGAGGATCATTCTTCCCTGGGAGTTCCAGACAAACAGTGCAACCATCATCAAATGCCTCTTCTGAAATAATCAAAAGTCACTGCAACACACTGTGGAGAAGGTGTACTTTAAAGTTTCCAAACAAATATCATTTGTTTTCACTCTTTATGATTTGTGGGAGAAAATACATGCCTTGAAATATTCAGTGGTTCTCCAGTCATGACAAACTGTCCTTGTTATGTCAGCTTTGCTATTATTTCCAAGACTTCACAGCTTTTTCCATTAACCCACAAATCAAATCAATCATAAAAAAAACCCTCTCCAACATAATTTCTTTAATTGCATTAAGCTTAGGTCCTTTTTACTAAACATCTGCTTTAAGCAGCCAGGGAAGCACACTGATCTATAAGATGCTGACAAACATTTTCCATGCACAGGAATAAATGACTGCCAAGTCTGTGTGAAGAGAATTTAAATCTTTATGATTATGAATCTCCTCACACCTCACAAAAACAGACCTTATCTGACAGATTCTTTAACAGAAATTCCACTCACCAATCTAGGAAGCTTCACTGCCCATCCCTCCCTATGAGGCACAAGAAACGTACCATGGGGCGATACATCAGAATATAAATTATGGAAGGGAAGAACTCACAAGGTTTGTAAAAACCAACAGAAAACTCTTTGTGTATTTTAGTAGTAGGAACTTTTAAGACACCATGTCATTAAACATTACTTAGAACACATCAGAATAGTACACTCACAAGAGGTTAAAGGGATGAAAAGAGGTTTTTCTGAAAAAATCAAAGCTAGGATGTAATTTCCAATAACATATTGCCCTATAAATTTACAAATACAGATATTTACCTCTCGAAGAGGGATAATAAGGCTGCACAAGTTCTCCTCTTTGCTAGTAAAGCAAATGTAGTTTGTAGAAACAAACATCTGCCCCAAAATATGCATTTTGTTGAATGGAGTCCAGAGAGTACAGTCTGTGTGTCCATCTAATTTCTCATCCTTAGGAAGTCGGAACAATGCACGGTATCTCTCACTCTTTGCTCTGGCATCAAGATCCCTAAAACAAACCCACAAAACTTTTCTTGTTTTAAGAAATATATAATACATACTTTCTGAGTTTATATACAGTGATTTTATTATTAAATAACACATGACCCTGTGCAATATCACACCAAAAATCCTTACTTGAAACTTCTTTGTTAACATGATGGAATCCTGTGGGCTAGAGTTTGTTAACAATTTCAAGACTTAGCCTTGATAATGCATTCAGTGCAAAACACTGAAGAGTCAGAAAAACAAACCTAAGTAATATAATGCATGATATGATGCATGTTGATATCACTAAGTAACCAGAAACATAAACAATGGTTACATTGTTACAACGTTTACATGTAGATTACCATCTATGATTCTATGACAAATTCTGTATGGGTCGCTAACATAATAAACATAAAATAATGAAAAAACTAACAAGAAACTATCAAACTGCAGCCTGACATCTATAGAAGAAGCAAAGATTTTCCAGATAATTTCTTATTCTTTAGAATTTTATGTCATTTTTTTTCATCTCTGTTACCTAAAAAGTAAGTTCTAGATAGAATCATAGAACAGTTAGGGTTGGAAAGGACCTTAAGATCATCAAGTTCCAACCCCCCTGCTATGGGCAGGGACACCTTGCTCTAAACCATATCACCCAAGGCCTCGTCCAACCTGGCCTTGAACACTGCCAGGGATGGTACATTCAAAGTTGTGTTTTCAGAAATGAAAAGGATCCTGCGTGCACTGCACTGCAGATTAGCTGTGCTTATGCCAACATCCTTTGGTCTTAAATGACAAGACACGGACATGCATATTTGGACATACAAAGAGCCTGGCATAAAAGCTCCTGTAATATGGGCAGATTCATGCTTTAAAGTCATGAAGTGGTACATATCTTACAGAGCTTCCCATTTTAGCACAACCATTACAGTTTTTCTGAAAAGCTCATCATTTTCCCCTTCTGTTCTTTCAAAAAAGAATCTACTGGTCTAATGAATTTCAATAAAATCAGGAGGGATGCTCTCATTTCTTTCTCCAAAGATCTCTACCAGTAGATTCCTAACATTGTCAACCTTGGGAAGAACATATTACGTTCCCACTGTGATATGTGAACCTGAATTCACCATCTAGAGTAATTTTTCAACTCCAGTTATAGGACCAAGTATGAATGTTAGGCACATTTCTAATAGCACTTAAGTCATTTTATTACCTTCCCTGGTAACCCAAAAAGGCCTCACAACAGATGTCTAGTACAGCCAGTGTCAAGAGATACATTAAAGAACTTCTGAACAAACAAGAACTTGGCTCAAATATGTTACTTTCATTTCTGCAGCATGTTGAAATGTTTTCCCTCTCCTATTTCAACAGGAGACCAAATAATTATATTTAGTTATTTCCATTTTGCCGCTGCTGGAATCAATCATTCCTCTTGAAGTAACAGTAAATGACAGCAAAACAAAATCCTGCAAGTAAAAAGACTGAGGAGAAACAAATGACTAAGAGCCAGTGCTACCTACCGTTTCAGTGCAGATACTTTTTTGGGGGATTTCTTTTTCAGTTTGGGTAATGACCTGTCTTGTTCAAATCCTTCATTGTCCAAAAGCTGTCGCATAGCTATATTGGCAAGCTGTTCCATTAGTTTAAACGTCTCACTGATATTAAGGAATACTGAGAAGAAATGTTCACTTGACCTTGTGCTCACTTTGATCATATCAGGGAAGAGCAGTGTGGCATTCTTCTCAAGTTGAGTGATATCAACCCAGCGGATAACCAACTTTGCTGAACAGAAGCAAAGAAGCAACAACAAAAACATATTTAGTACAAAAAAATCGTATATTCAAAGGTTTTCTCTTCCTCAAAAATATATCTAGCTGAAATTTTCTTGCAACTTGAAAGGTTGGGAGGACAGCATAAATAGATCCAGCTTGTACAAACAAAATATGATCACCCGAGAAACAGCAGATAAAAGAGTTTAAGTATCATTTACTTCTGTAGTGAACACCAAACAAAAGCGTTACAAAGCTAGGTGGGCCAGCATACTTCTCAAGACTCTGACATCCTTCTTTCCCATGGAAGCAAAGAAATACAGTCTAAACCCATCAGACATGACTGCATGATTTTTACCTATTTAAAAGCTTCAAATATTACAGTAATGATAGATCCTTAGCTTTTCTCCCAAAACCACTATAGGTTAGAACATTGTCCTTAAAACAGGGACTAAATCTATATTTATTTTTGTCAAACCCCCCCCCCCAACAAACAAAAACAAAACCAAAGAAGTCATTCATTAGGGTATGTCCACACAACTAAACAGAAAGACCCGGGACTGATCCATTTCTCATAACCAAGTACTGCAGACTTGCTCCCTTTCACACTGCTTAGAATTAACTCCCTCTGTAGCAAACTGGTTGCATCCATACTATGTAGGTTCTTGATCCTGGGTCTCCTCTGAGCCCTTTGTGAGGCTCTGGAGTTGTATATGAGTAAATATGGGATTTTCAAAGTCTGCCAGAGTAGTACTGGAGGACTGTGTAAGAGCAGAAAGAGCCAGAACTGGTGTGATCTCATCTCTAATCCCTTCAGACACTGTCTCTGAAGTTAACCATGCGTCCAGATGATGCCCACATATTGTTTTACAAAGAACTGCGTTCAGAAATACAAAACAAATAAGGGAACAGCATGACAACTAGGGAATCGCTCCCTACTTCTCTTTCCCTCAGCAGTATCACTGCACCCTTCAGCAGTTCTGTAGGTGAACAATCATAGAATCATAGAATAGTTAGGGTTGGAAAGGACCTTAAGATCATCAAGTTCCAACACCCCTGCCATGGGCAGGGACACCTCGCTCTAAACCATATTACCCAAGGCCTCGTCCAACCTAGCCTTGAACACTGACAGGGATGAAGCATTCACAACCTCCCTGGACAACCCATTCCAGTGCCTCACTACCCTAACAGGAAAGAATTTCCTCCTTATATCCAATCTAAACTTCCCCTGTTTAAGTTTGAACCCATTACCCCTTGTCCTATCACTACAGTCCCTAATGAAGAGTCCATCCCCAGCATCCCTATAGGCCCCCTTCAGATACTGGAAGGCTGCTATGAGGTCTCCACACAGCCTTCTCTTCTCCAGGCTGAACAGCCCCAACTTTCTCAGCCTGTCTTCATACAGGAGGTGCTCCAGTCCCCTGATCATTCTCGTGGCCCTCCTCTGGACTTGTTCCAACAGATCCATGTCCTTTTTATGTTGAGGACACCAGAACTGCACACAATACTCCAAGTGAGGTCTCACAAGAGCAGAGGAGAGGGGCAGGATCACCTCCTTCGATCTGCTGGTCACACTCCTTTTGATGCAGCCCAGGATACGGTTGGCTTTCTGGGCTGTGAGTGCACACTGAAGCCGGCTCATGCTCATTTTCTCATTGACCAACACCCCCAAGTCCTTCTCCGCAGGGCTGCTCTGAATCTCTTCTCTGCCCAGCCTGTAGCTGTGCCTGGGATTGCTTCGATCCAGGTGTAGGACCTTGCACTTGGCATGGTTAAACTTCATCAGGTTGGCATCAGCCCACCTCACAAGCGTGTCAAGGTCCCTCTGGATGGCATTCCTTCCCTCCAGTGTATCAACCAAACCACACAGCTTGGTGTCATTGACAAACTTGCTGAGGGCGCACTCAATCCCACTGTCCATGTCAGCAACGAAGATGTTAAACAAGACTGGTCCCAACACTGATCCCTGAGAGACACCACTTGTTACAGGTCTCCAGCCAGACATCGAGCTATTGACCACAACTCTTTGTGTGTGGCCATCCAGCCAGTTCTTTATCCACCGAGTGGTCCATCCATCAAATTGATGTTTCTCCAATTTAGAGACAAGAATGTTGTGTGGGACAGTGTTAAACGCTTTACACAAATTCAGGTAGATGACATCAACCGCTTTACCACTGTCCATCAGTTCTGTAGCCCCATCATAGAAGGTCACCAAATTGGTCAGGCAGGATTTCCCCTTAGTGAAGCCATGCTGGCTGTCACCAAGCACCTTGTTGTTTTTCATGTGCCTTAGCATGCCTTCCAGGAGAATCTGCTCCAAGATTTTGCCAGGCACAGAGGTGAGACTGACTGGTCTGTAATTCCCTGGGTCATCCATTTTCCCCTTCTTGAAAATGGGGGTTATATTTCCCTTTTTCCAGTCGTTGGGAACTTCACCTGACTGCCATGATTTTTCAAATATGATGGCCAGTGGCTTAGCAACTTCATTTGCCAGCTCCTTCAGGACCCGTGGATGGATTTCATCAGGACCCATGGACTTGTGCACGTTCAGATTTTTAAGATGGTCTCGAACCAATTCCTCTCCTACAGTGGGCCCAAGGTCTTCATTCTCACAGTCCCTGCATCTGCCTTCCAAGACTTGGGTGGTGCGGTCAGAGCCTTTGCTAGAGAAGACCGAGGCAAAGAAGTCATTCAGAACCTCAGCCTTCTCCAAATCCTGTGTAGCTAGTTCACCTGAGAGCTTCCTGAGGGGGCCTACGTTCTCCCTAATCTGTTTTTTATTTGCTATGTACCTGTAGAATCCCTTCCTGTTATCCTTAATATCCCTAGCCAAGTTTAATTCTAACTGGGCCTTAGCTTTCCTAACCTGGTCTCTAGCTTCCCGGACAATATCCCTGTACTCTTCCCAGGCCTCCTGTCCTTGCTTCCACTTTCTGTAAAGCTCTTTTTCATTTGAATTTTCCTCAGGAGCTCCTTATCCATCCAAGGAGGTCTCCTGGCCCTCCTGCTGCACTTCCTTCTAGTTGGGATGCAACGCTCCTGAGCTTGTAGCAGGTGATCCTTGAAGACCAGCCAAGAGTCTTGAGCCCCCCTGCCCTCTAGGGCTATATCCCATGGAACCTTACTAAGCAGGTTCCTGAAGAGGCTGAAGTCTGTTTTTTTGAAGTCCAGGGCAGTGTGCCTGCTGCACGCTCTTCTCACTGTCCTAAGGATCTCAAATTCAACCATCTCGTGGTCGCTGCATCCAAGGCTGCCCTGCAGTGCCACATTTCCAACAAGCCCTTCCCTGTTGGTGAGCACAGGGTCAAGCATGGCACCTCTCCTTGTCGGTTCCTCTATTACTTGCAGAGGGAAGTTGTCTTCCACACAATCAAGGAACCTCCTGGATTGCTTGTGCCGGGCCGTACCGTCATTCCAACAGATGTCAGGGTGTTTGAAGTCACCCATGAGAACGAGGGCCTGTGAGCATGAGGCTTTTCCTATCTGCCTATGGAGTGCTTCATCCGCAGATTCCTCTTGATCAGGTGGTCTATAACAGATCCCCATAGTAATGTCTCCCATTGCTGTTTTCCCTTTAACCCTAACCCACAAGCTCTCTGACAACTGCTCACCTGTCCCCAGACAGAGTTCCATACACTCCAGCCTATCCCTAACATAAAGGGCAACTCCCCCTCCGTGCCTGCCAGGCCTGTCTTTTCTAAAGAGTCTGTAACCTTCCATTCCAACACTCCAGTCATAGGAGCCATCCCACCATGTTTCTGTGATGCCTATTATGTCATAGGCCCGTAGATGAGCACACATCTCTAATTCCTCTTGTTTGTTCCCCATGCTATGTGTGTTTGTATAGAGGCATCTGAGCCGAGCTCCAAATGAAGCCGGCTCATTGGCTGGAGCAGCCGGAATATCTCTGCATTGCTCCAAGCATTTATTATAGGTGCTGGCAACTGACTGGGAGTGTTGGGATGGAATGATGCCCCCTCCCCCAACACATCTAGTTTAAAGCCTCCTTAACCAGTCTGGCAAGCCTCCTACCAAAACTGCCCTTCCCCTTCGAACCAGCTCCACCAGCCCCCGCTAGACCTGGCCTACAAACTTGGGTCCCATGTTCAAGACACCCAAACCCCTGACTATGACACCACCCTTTTAACCATTTATTAACCTGGCTAATCCTCCTAGCTTTTTTTAGGTCCTCCCCTGTATCCTGGAGAATAGACGAAAAGACTATCTGAGCTCCAGAGCCCTTAACCACCTCTCCCAGGGCTCTGTAGTCCTTCTTTATGTTCCCCAGGCTACTACTATCTATATCCCTAGCACCCACATGTATCACCAGAAGTGGGTAATAGTCAATAACAAGCTACAGAAGATTCCTAGCAATTCTTAGATGCACAGACCACTGGTCCACTGTAAAACATACCTTCCTTACCCATGAGGAAAGAGTAAAAGCAAAGGTGATTAATGCTGAGATACACCCAGCCCTGACGAGGAACCTTCCCCTTCCAGTAACTGCATGAGTAGTAGTTCACCAACTTCTCTTCTTCTGGCATCCCAAACAGCTTGTGAAATTTCACTATGGCTTCCTTAAATTTTTCTGTATCATCATCTTCCTTAATGCCATTGATTTTGTTGTACTCAGCGATGATACCCTGGTAGGGAGTGAAAGAAGTACACAGCATATTAGTTGCCATGGGGTATCAGATATCCTCATTATCATCGCTGTCTGGGCCAAAGGACACAACAGCTATTGCAATGTCAAGAAAGAATTTTGCTTATCTTTTATTCTTCTCTCATTCTTCTGTTTATATAGTTACTTACTTTGTTCAAGGTTGTCTGATGACCTTGCTCCTTACCATGCCTATGCCAAAAGAAACCAAACACCAACCACATGCCAATACCCTGCTTTAAATTAACCAGCCTATCTCAAACATTCCTGACAACTCTGTTAAGCACCCATGATTTGTAATATTTCCCCTTCCACCTATAAATGCTCTCTGAAGAGACAGGGATAGGATTTCACCAGAAAACTTTATTCTAAAATTAAGGAAAAAAGCAAAAGGAAAAAAAAAAATATGTGATTGGTAAGAAAAAATACCGAACTACTTTTATGACCCTGTTTCAGTAGACCTGGCATGAAAGAGAAGAGCAAAAGCAAACAAATAAATCTCTGTTAGATTAACTAGCAGAACTATAAAAATAATTCACACTTTCACGTTCAGGATACCTTAATCTAATTTGAAGTGACAGCAATCTGGTGAAAAGCTGCCTTTTGATACCTCAAATACTATGGTTTCTCTGTTCTATGCTGAACATAGAACACAGAAATTCACATAGAACAGAAGTCTATTCACTTATTTTCCTAATCTCTTTTATAATCTTCTGAATTAAAGTTATAAAAAGGAAAGTGACTTCTTATCTTCAAATTGCTCCATATTTACATGGAAAGCAGAGTATTAAGACAGTGAACCATCATGAACTTTTAATATTTATTCAACTTTAACAAATTCCTTAAAAGATTATATTTCATAAGACAAATGCCTTCTCACGTCAGGTGTTTCCATGATTATCCTCAGCACTCATGGCTGATTCACTAGTAAAACACAAACAAGGAGATTCTTAAGACAGTTGACTTACTACATGAAATGTTAATAGAGGAATGATACAAAGCCAATGCTTAGAAAACACATCAAGTATGTACAATAGTTCTGCTTCTAATCAATCTTTCACCAAAATATTAATTTTTAGGTAATTCTTAGCATGTGCTTTTTACAAGTATAGCTACTACCTATAGGAGAAAAAAGAAATTCTGGCAGAACAAAAAAAAACCCACCAAAACCAGACAAAAAACTAACAAATCAATCAACCAGCAATCCCTAAAACCTATGTGAAGTGCAAATACCGACACTACAGAATTTAACTGCACAGAAGAGGGTAAGGAGACATCTTATGATGAGTACATGAAAAAAAAAAAAAAAAACACCAAAAAAACAAAAGCTTTGCCCTGGAAAAGCAGTTACATAGAAAACTGTCAAAGTTTAAGACAAAAGCAATGGTGCAATTAATTTTAGAACATATAATGTTTGAATCCATGACTATATATATATTTTTTTTAATCACACTGCACTAATCCCAGTTTCCCTTACTTTTTACACACATGTTAGTACTTAGAATCTAGTTCTTTTTCAAAAGGGTGGAGCAGCCTGGGGACTACCAGGTTAAATTCATTTAGAATTCACATCAGTTTTCCTTCCACAGTCACATTTATCATTAACGACATTTATAATAATATATTTAACTACCTGTATTTTTCCTCTGACAAATGTATTTATGTCATTCTCATTTTCAAAGATCGAAAGAGTTTGTAACAAATTCTGTTCAAGCCATTCCCAGTGTTCAGTGATTTCTTTCCTTGAGCAACCTGCATATATACATTAAAAAAACCAAAAACAAAACAACAACCAAAAGTCACAAATAGTTCACCAGTGTCAATGTCCTCGTAATCATAAATAAAAGACTAATAAAATCACTAGTAACTGAAGATGCAGTGTGATTCTATGATCTTTTTGTTCAAACCACAGATTTGCCTCACTTTACTCAAGAGCTAGCAAGTAAAGGTACCTACCTGCTGACGTCTACAGAACCCAACAAAGTGATGGGGGCTTACATGAAGTAACCATTAGAAAGAGGTTAAATACAACAAGTTGTTTCTAATAACTTCTTCGGCTTCACTACAGGCACTGTCACATGTCTAGATCACGAATCACATGTGATTCTACATCTAGAATCACAGAATGGTTTGGGCTGGAAAGGACCTTAAGATCATCTAGTTCCAACCCCACTGCCACAGACAGGGACACCTCACACTAGACCATCTCTCTTTGCTTTGTTCACTCAGGCTTAAAAAACACTTTTGCTGAGATGTTCTGAAGTACAGGTCTTTAACTCTGCTACTGGCAAATCTTTGCTTATCTTAACCTATTAGAAGCATTCACCATTTTGCAATCATTGGCCTTTCAGGTAAATTAAGCAATACCTCCAGCTTTCACTGAAGTGAAAATAAAAACCCCCAACATTTAACAGTTAGACCACTACACTGGAATACAGAACCTTCACGACTGGCAGGAAATAAAAGGGAAAATAGCTACAACACATGCAGTAGACTACTGAACACTCTTTCCCCTCCTCTAAATGGTACACTTGGCTTATGGCGTGCTCCATGGCTGAAATGACGTAATGCTGGCCAACATTCCTGGTAGACTGAGTTATTCTCCTCAACCTTTGGGGAGGAAACTAGTAAGTACGTTAAACAGAAGTTGGAGAGCTAAGGGAGGTCTACACCGGAACTGCTGAATGGGGAAACGATGCATGGTGCCAGAGAGAGGATGAGAAGGTGCAATTGCCTGACAGGTGGGGTGGAATAATAGCACGAGCAACATGGGAACATATCTGGCTGTCAAGGTTAGGTTTCTAATATCTGGGTCAGTTCGTCTAAAGTAAGAGGTGAAGGTACGGAGGGACTGTGACCGAGTACAGACCTAAGAAGAAAATTAAATTAAAAAGTCATATAAAGATGCTTTCAAACACACTGAGAAGTGTAATCTCAGTACTGTTTCAGTTGGTGACTGAGGAAAGGCTTAACTTGAGACAACGGATGAGGCTATCATGTTCAGTCTTCTCTTCCAAGTAGATACTTCCTTCAGATGATTATTCAGTCAACCTGAACTGCTGCTGTTAACAGAATGCACTGCAAGAGAATCTGCAACACCTCAGAGAACCTAAAATTGTTGCCAGCAATGGCAGATTCAAGAGTGGACTGACCGAGCCCCAGTTTGTGCAGAGGGAGGAGAAAATAGTTATGGCTGGTAAACTCAACAGCACTCTAACTAAAACTGTGTTTAGTTACCAAAGCACATGGGCTTTTATGAAAACTTTTTCCAAGGTATGCAATAACATTTCAAGCCTGATGCTTTAAAGTAACGTTACTCTTTTTTTTTTTTTTCACATGTGAAATACAAATTTGGAAACTCCTATGGAAGTACCTATCATATCAACTGTTACCACAAAAACCTACACTAATGGTTCCATACATGAAAAACACAGAGTCATAGTAAGAATGACTGATGTTATATGTGGAGAAAGATCTAAAAGAGTTGTGAATTTCCAAACACAGTTTACATGTACCATCATTCTTCCCCCTAAACTGAGCACTACCAGACCAGGGAGGGACACAGAAGGGCTATTACAATATGCAAGGCTGATCAAGGACAACATTTTAGATTCCTACACAATTACAAAATTAATATGCTTAAAACTGTTCTATAAAAGTTACCAGTAACATCTTTCCAGTACAGTTCAGAACTTTAATCCATGACACCATCTATAAAGCAGAAAGTGCTGTTAACATCTACAGAGCTAGAAAGCCTCAGCTCTACCAGCTAGCATTCTCATAGAGCCTAGATCAGTAGAGTTATAAACAAATCTTGGGTGTCTTAAACAAAATAGTAATTTTAGAGCAAACAAAACACCTTGGATTATTTTTTACCCTCTGAATAATCTTGTACAGAAGAAGACTAAATGTCATGCAACATGAATGAACAGAGAAACAATCACATTTCTTCCACTCGTTCTGTAAAGCTACTTACTGAGGATGGAAATTATTGCTTTATGGAAGGCAGAGGAAAACATGACAAATTCTGTAAAAATAAGAGATTACAAGCACCAAATAACCAGCAGTGTACACCCCTAGGGAACAGGGAGGGACAGATGTACAATGCACGACAAATCAGAGTTGCATAGCTAAATGCAGCCAAATCCCTTGGTAACCTTATAATTCTAACAACCCTGGATGAGTTCAGAAAGAATTGCCTTAGCTGCAAATTCATAAACTAATCACAGCACAGAGCCTTAGGCAAAACTGGGCTGCTCATCTTCAAGGTTGCACTGATAAATAATTTGCTCTCTAAAATTTTACCTCCCTGTGAGAGCCACACTATTCCCCTTAGGTGATGAGACTAAGCTAGTGCAGTCACATAATTTAACACAAATAACTAAGCCAATCAACCAACTACATGCTGGGGGAGTAAAAGTTCAAGAAACGCTCCACAAAAATGGAAGCACAGATAGATACATTTACTACTTTAGTAATTTCAATTAGGGTTAAGATTTATCATTTAAGACAATCTTCATCCATGCCTCATCTTCTTCCCTTCCCAAGAGAGAGGATTTGTCTGGAAGAAAAATTATCCAAATAGTCTAAATGTCAATTTTTACTGGGAGAATGGTCACAGATAAGAGGGCACTGTTAGGCCAGAAGTCTACAGCTACATTAGCTAATATTTTTGGCTGGCAGGCAGTGCTGGGGATGCTGGAAGTTACTAGTCTATTAAAGAGATGACAGACATGTATGCACTTCTTATTTGTCCTCTTCCTCAATTTTCTTTCAAATGAACGGAGTTCTGGCTGCTGCCTAAAACAGTGTTTGAAGCTTTAGCGCTAGAAGACTTGTATTAAAAAATTTTTGCTTGATAAGTCTGAAAAGCAATACTATCAAAATGAGAATAGGACCTTATGAGCTTGGCCAATCAAAGCTAAATAACCTCGCCCTTGCATTCAGTTTCAGATGCTATTTCCAGAGTCAGAAAACTGAACCAGAGACTAGCTACATACTGTTCTATGCTACTTGCAATAGGTACTTAACCACAGAAAAAAAAAAATTTAGTATTTACAGGATCTGATGCATGCAAAAATCCTATTTAATGTACCAAAATATCAACTTCATTGATTTCACCAACTACTATAATGACAGAAAAAACAGCCTTGCAGTTAAATATGTCAAAGTTTGAGCCTTAAAGACCAAAACTCTTTTGAGTTGTTGCATCTATGTAGGAACATACACTTCTGTACTTAACTCCTAACCTAGTTACCATCTTTCTGAATTCCTAAGTCCATCATATTTAGAAGGACAACTCATTGTCTGAAATAAAAGTACAGGAGGTGGGCATCCCTGGAATCTACATGGTATTTATCCTAGAGGAGCCTAAGTTCACTATCCAGAAAATGCCATACTGATATACAGTACTCAGGCAAGTGCTAGGATTGCACTGTCTTCCTGGTTTCCACTTCAATGGAAGCCAGGTGGCCTCTCTGGGCAATCTGGGGGGCTATAACCCAGGTAATTCTCCTACCATATTCTTTAGAGATACCACACCCCCCAAGAAGGCTGCACTTTTAAAATGCTGTAGGAGTGAGCCATGGGCATGTAAAAGAAACACAAGGAGGAAGGATGGATACCAAGACTGAGTGTCTGAGAACATCTCAGAAGAGACGGGAAAAGAAGGGTGGGAAGTATCAGGAGCTTCTGTCCCGCTCCATAGCTATTTTTGCTCAGTTACTGTGCATAACACATACACGCATGCCGGCATTCCAGGTCTTAATATTTAGAAGCTCTGGAGCGTCTTAATTTAACCACTAGAGCAGGTTTTCATCCTGACACATTTATTTGTCCTGATACGACTGTACTCAGCTAGTGGGATGTTCTATTAGTTATGTGGCGCAGTACCCAGGAAGAATAAAAATCCACGTGTCAGTATATTTGTCCTTACCACAGGCGACAGTCCAATAGACCAAGGAGTCTGGTGCCTGGTAGAGGATTCGATAGGGTGCCACTCTGGCACTGGAGTCCAACACAACATCAAGAGTACCCACAAGGAGACCTACGGAACAGGAAATTCTCATGAATACAGAGTAATGAATGTTCAGAGATCCCACAGGAGAGAAGTCCACAGCTCCACTCCCATTTCACACTCCAGAGCAAAATGCACACTGGTGTATTCATCCCCACAGCTTGCCTCGTTGTAGAGAGGGAAAGCAACTCAACAGGGAAAAGTTTTCAGTTTAACAAGACTTTAACTCTTAAATATGCACCAATTCTAGCATAAAGGCTGGTGAACTGAGGCAAAGCAGAAGGTAGCTGTTTCATAAAACCACGTTTAAGGCTGTTTAGTTCTTTCCTGTGCTTCATATACTGTTGGAGCCCTGCGAGTGGGGTGGAAGTGTGAGAACAGGGAAGAACAAAAAAAAAAAAATCCACAAAAAACCCCCACTGCAACACCAACAAAAAACCCCAGACAATACCCTCTGGAAGGGCTCAAAATTCAAATATCAGCTCGTAAAAACTAAGGCTTCCAGTAAAAATAATTATGCTACTTAATGGTCTGATTCTTCAGAGCAGAAAAGACTGAAATGCCAGTCAAGCTGTTTTTCATCTGAAAGGATACTGATTAAAGACAAAGCCATACCGTTTTCCCAAAGTAGCTTTGAAAATTCGTTGCTACTGAGGGGGCCATCAACAGTTGCATACCAAATGCTACCAATAATTTCTAAACATATTTCCACAAATTTTAGATACTATTTTTATAAGAAATTGCACACAAAATAAAACTCAAATCGTCTCCCACCAGCAGCCCTATCTATTTTTAAAAGATGCAAAAGTTTTCTACCTTTTCATGTCTACAAAGAATTTTCATCTACCCTGCAGAGATGTCAAGATTTAAATTCTCATGTTGAAGTTCTCATCAAATTCACATACTGAAAACAGAGAGATGAACTTTCAAAGACTTTTTTTCTGTAAATTTTTGTTAGGATAGAAAGTAAGAGGTTTTTTTTTAAACAGCTGAATTAAACTGCATGCATTATAAAATCATTTAAACCATTTCTGTTAAAATCTTCTTCCCCTTTCAGGCAGCCATTCTCATTTTTTACTGTCAGTTTCATTAGTTCCTCATTCTGCATCGCCATAACTGGTAGGGAAGACTGCTTCCCTTGTAGTTCTTTCAGATTTGCTATATGCATCACAAAGATACAAAAGCACTACCCATTTCCCATCTTACCAGATTCCTTAAATCTGAACTGAAACTGATGTTTGGAAATACCCCACATACCAGTGAGAACACAGACTTTATATTTCCCTGTTCTATGTTTTCTATTTGTATTTTGTTATGAAGATCTTCACAGGCCAGATCAAATGCAATCTTTTCCTGCATTAATATCCACCACTTTTTAATCTAAGATTTCTGAAATATATGAGAAACAAGCCTGAATACAACATCCGGTCTTCAGTAAGGTCTTCAGATACCTTAGAGAGGTATCTGCTGATTACAGGATATGAACACAAAATAATGTAAAATCTCCTAATGTTCCCTAGTCTAACTAGCTTTTGTTGTTCCTACTGCCATCTTAAACCCTGATCTTTCATATGTTTTGGTTACTTGTGTACACTAACCAGCTTCCTCTTATCAGTCCTCCACCAGCCCTCCTAGGTACACCTTGACTCCTTCCAAACTCAGGAGACTGAAGTAGGTTATAATGTTCCTCTTCTGCTGAATATACTCTGCTCTGGCATCACAAAATCAGTATGGCCCCAGTCCAGAAAGCACATGCATGCTTCAACCATGGGCAAAGATCTGCAAATGCTTAAAAGCTGTTAGTGAGCTCAAGAGTATTGCTCAACTGGAGTGCAGACCAAGCCAGACACCAGACTGCACTAATCACCTGGGTTTGCTGCAAACATGTAGCAGGACTTATGCCAAAGATTCTCCATGCTTTGCAGCTTCACATGTCTACTGACAGTACTAAATATGTAACAGGCATGATGTAATATCTAAATAAAGTCATATGCTGGCCAAATGTAATCTTCTCTGAGGTTCAGATACACTGTAAGGTCCCTGCAATCTTTAAAAATATGCTTGTTGTTTTCCTCCTGCTGTATTTCCAAATCTGTTGGTGTGTGGGTGTCCTGCCAACCAATTCTGCCGATAGTTCTGGGAGGGCGCTGCAGGTAAGGTCAGGGAGCCAGAACAAACCTGCAGACTTGTGCCACAACATCATGCTAAGAGGAGCAGCATCCTACCTCCTTCTCCCTGAGGTACAGGAGACAGGAGAGGAACATCCCCCTGTTCCACCAAATAGAAACATGTAAGATCGAGCAGTGTATTCCAGAAATGTGGAGCACACTACAAAAAAACCAAACCAATTGAGACAAGCCAGCACCGAAACAAGAGATGGGAGGTAGGTAAGGAAAAAGAAATAAAAGAAATAATACTTTCCACTGGTGCAGTAAGTAGCAGTTGCCCAGTGCCTTTTCAGCAATGAAAACAGGCTGTAGAAATATCTATGCAGTGAAGTGAAAAAACCTCACAGAACTCTGTAAGACCCCACGGAAATTCAAAGTCTAGCTTACCAAGGTAACTGCAACAGTTTAGCAGTAAAATTTTACTTATAACTGTTTTGACAAATGATACATGCCATATTTAAAAATAATTTCTGTGTTCTTATATACATTAAAGCCAATTAATATTTATTCTTGAAATTGTGCCATTACCCCTGATTGCTGTCCTTCGGGAACTGTTCCATTTCGTGTTTTAAGTCAGTGTTGCTTTTTTGGGTTTGAGTGGTTTTTCCCCTCAGATGTGATGCAAACAGAATGTAATCACAGCAGCTCAAACTGATAATCTCTCTGAGAAGCTTCTACATGAAGTGATCATACTAAAGCTTAAAAAATTAATTTAACACTGTTCATTAATTCTTCATATACAAGTACTTTTTCAGACATGGTTATGATATAAGTAACTGCAAGTTCCCATAGAAACTGAACAAGCAACAAATAATCACATTCCTTAGATTAGACAAGTCCATGGGCAAGAGCCAGCAAATTATCCAGGCATCAAATCATGTGACTATACCAATTACATATTTTTCCCCATTATTTCATCAGGTTTCTGACTACAAAATGAAATAAGGAATTCCCAGTGTAAGAACACTAAACCTGTAAGCCCTTGTTCAACGAGCAGTTTTCATCATCAAAGGTTTAAAGCACAAGGTACAGTTTGTGGGATCAGCATCTGGATAACTAATGACAGCCCTGATCCTGAAGGCACTCAAACACAAGCAACCTCATATGGAGGAACAGTCCCATCAGACACACATGGCAAATGTATAGAGCAATCATACTGATACATGGAGGCATGAGCAGAAAAGGCAGCAAGAATGACTTAATCTTGTTTGATACAACTTTTTGAATAAAGTCAGCTTCCTCTTTCCTTTTCCTCCTGGAAACTATGCTAAGGCACCTGGAAAATAAGGAGGTGAATTGGTGATAGCCAACATGGCTTCACTAAGGGCAAATCTTGTCTGACAGATTTGGTGGCCTTCTATGATGGGATTACAGCATTGATGGCTAACAGAAGAGCAACTGAAATCATTTAACCAAACTTGTACAGGCCATTTGACACTACCCTGCATGACATCCTTGTCTCTAAACTGGAGATAAGAATTTGACAGATGGACCACTCAGTAGATAAGGAATGGCTGGATGGTTGTGCTCAAAGAGTTGTGGTTAATGGCTTGATGTCCAAGTGGAGATCAGTGACAAGTGGTGTTCCTCAGGGGTCGGTATTGGGACTGGTGCTGTTCAACATCTTTGTTGGTGACATAGTGCGATTGAGAGTGCCCTCAGCAAGGTTGCCAACAACACCAAGCTGCATGGTTAACACACTGGAGGGAAGGGATGGCATCCAGAGGCACCCCAACAGGCTTGAAACATAGGCCCATAGAAACAACATGAAGTTCAACAAGGCTAAGTGCAAGGTCCTTCACCTGGGCGGGCAATCCCAGGCACAAATACAGGCTGGCCAGAGACTGGATTGAGAGCAGCCCTGAGAAGGATTTGAGGGTGTTGGTTGACGAGAAGTTCAACATGGCCCCACAGCATGTGTTTGCAGCCCTGAACCCCAGCCATATGCTGGGCTGCATCAAAAACATGACCAGCAGATCAAGGAAGGTGATTTTGCCCCCTCTACTCCCTCATGAGACCCCACCTGGAGTACTCTATTCAGCTCTGGGGCCCCAACATAAGAAGGACATGGACCTGTTGGAGTAAGTCCAGAGGAGGGCCACAAAGACAGATCAGAGAGCTGGAGCACCTCTCCTATGGAGGAAGGTTCAGAGCTGTACTTGTTCAGCCTGGAGAAGAGAAGGCTCTGGGGAGACCTTAGAGCAGATTCCAGTGCCTAAAGGGGCCTACCGGAAAGCTGAAGGGAGAGTTTTTACAAGGTCATACAGGGATAGGACAAATGGGAATGGCTTTAAACTGAAAGAGGGAAGATTTAGATTAGGTATTAGGAAGAAGTTATGGACTATGAGGGAGATGAGACACCGGCACAGGCTGCCCAGAGAAGCTGTGGCTGCCCCATCCCTGGCAGTGTTCAAGGCCAGGTTAGGTGGGGCTTTGAGCAACCTGGTCTAGTGGAAGGTGTCGCTGTCCATGGCAGGGGGTTGGAACTGGGTGAGCTTTAAGGTCCCTTCCAACTCAGACCATTCTATAATTCTGTGAAAGGCAGTGAAATTTAATACCTGAAACCAGGGAATACAAAGCCACAACTGGCTAGGGGGCCTTGGCAATTATTCTTGCATCATGTTACTGGAAGGACATACAATGCAGTAGAGGGTATTACTGGAAAGGGCTTCCGTTACCTCATGCAATTTGTGCTGAACGAAGAAATCATACTACGTTTTACTTATCTGACCACTGTGCCTCACATTTAGCTGTAAACTGGAGGGGAGCCTATAACCTTTGCACAGAGTATACATATTATTAGTCTGCATTCATGCATTAAATCATGACGTTCTGTACTTCCATCCTTACTCTAGCAACCAG